GAAATGTATTTTTTTTTTCTATTAAAATAAACATAGTTTTACTTACAAAATTGCTAGCTAGCCATTTTCTTAAATACAGGCTGTTAATTAAGTATCTGGCCAACTTCAGAAGGTGATTCTTTGTGTTTTTAAGGTAAAAAGTTAATATAAACATGTGTCCGGAAATGCATAATTTTAAAGATACAGGGTGTCAAGTCCTAATAGACATTTTTTTATTAATATTTCAAAGATCCGTTGGCCGATTTTGTTGAAATTTCGCCGTGTTGTGAATTTTGATAAGTTAGCACTAATTAAATGATAATAATTATTATTTACAACAATATTCAAACGGTAAAAACTTATCAACTTATCCCAATAAATATTTGACAACGCCTTGGATTCATTTGTTTTAACGCCTGTTGGCGGTGGAAACCATGCAAGCTTTTTCTTTGTCCTAAGTTGATAATTAAAAATTCACAGATTTTGCAACATGCGCAACCATCATAAACGTATTGAAAATACCAGACGCAAAAGTCGGCGGTGGTCAGCAATTACCTGTTTTTTACATTTTATATTAACTGGTGACGTCATTGGGAAGAGCTCAATAGAAATATAAAAGAACTAAAGCTTGTTTGGAAAGCAATTTGACATTCGTGACGTCAGCACTCCGGCAGTCTAACGTATCGCTAATTGCCATTCGCAAATATATTCCAGATACGTATAGTGATATTGTATTAGTATTTTGATATTTGATTTTTATCGTGATGGCTTTTTATAAAAGTGAAGAATTTAGTAAGAAAAATATTAATGATGGAGATGAACGTGTACAGATTCATGAATGGTCACGATCACGGTTCATTATATATATATATATATATATATATATATATATATATATATATATATATATATATATATATATATATATATAATGGAAAATAAATTTCTTGCAGCTTTTAGGTATATAATAAAATTATATAAGAGTTTCTTGCCTTCTATTATATGGAATTAATGGCATTAATTTGCAATAGCACCTCGAACCCACAGTTTCATTATGGAGCCAGATTAAATCAATCAGAATGAGTATTATGTTACTGTAAAAGCCCGAATATTGGTTAATCGTAGGGTTACCCACGTAGGAGCCCGAAATATGCAAAAAAGGTCACTTTAGATTAAGTTTAGATTAGGCCTATATTTTTATTAATGCAAAACCAACTAAAACCTAATTCTAATCTAACCTAAACTCACTCCCTCTTTTGCATATTTCGGGCTATTACCTGGGTATTTCTAAGTTTAACCAATATTCGAACTTACGGTGTAAATTTATGGACGGTCCATAAATTTAAATTCGCCGTACAAAAAATAAGTAATAGTTACTGTAGATCAAAATAAATTAAAATATAGTTCCAGGATAACTTAGTTTGCAGCTTCTTTTCGTCATACCTAGTAAAAACCCGTCACAACCACTACTCATACACTGTAAAAAATCAGCCTGAGTGAACACATATTTCTCAGGGAGTGAATTTTTTGAGTGAAATAATTGAGTACATTTTCATCTAAAATAGAGTAAATTCATCATTTTACTCAAATATGATCTCTATTTAATGAATAGCGATTGAATAAGCTCATGTTCGAGTTATAGCTCCTATCTTTGAGTAATGGAATAGAAAAATTAACTTAAAAACTCATGTTATAGTTTAACACATTAAAAATTTGAGTGAAATCTCCCAGTTTAGAGTATTTTCGCTCATTACTAATCATACGTCATACGCGCTTCTTCGATACCGAATAAGCTATTCCCTGTTCCTCAGTTTGTAATTATCTGTTCGAGTCGTAGCACGTCTAGGTTGTCTTGTCCCTTCGAAGGTGCCAAGGTCACAAGCCCATAGTGTGTGTGTAAAGTGTGATGTAAAGTGTGACTGTTAATAATATGTTTTATGTTAAGAACATTTTTTTTTCACATCGCAGAAATCCGCCCAACATAGCATAGATTCAAATTCGATTGCGCCAATGCCGCAATGCTGATGTTTCCTTGACTAATTAGCGTAGCGAAAATCTAGGTACTTTCTCTCAATCATGAATTGGGAACTGGAACATTTGGCAGAATAACAATTTTTTTTTAATTTTCAGGAGCAAAAGTATCTGGGTTTTCCGAGGGATTTTCGTTATTAAAAGTTAGTTTAGAAATTAGAAATATTCGAGAAGGTGGCCGAACTGACGAATGCTCTTAATAAAGCGGATTTTTGCGATGTGATGCAACTTTTCTAGACATCTAACTTAAAAAAGTTCCTGTATAAAGAGTTAAAAAAACATTTTGATATTATAATAATAGTGTTATATTTGGTTTTATTTGTTTTTTTCAAATAAAAATGACAAATAAAAATATTTTTGAAGGTTCTACAGTTTTTCATTTGGTTTGTTAAAAAAAACGAAATATTCTAAATGATTTTTTTAAAAGCTATATGTAAGCTAACTTCTTATTTTATTACAAGTGAACAGATGCCTCCCAAAAGTGAATTTTAGGAAATGGACATGTTCGAGACCATGTCCTAAACTGAAACTTACCGTTGAAAGGCACCTGCCCACCTGTTTTAAAATAACAAGTTAGCTTACATATAGCTTTAAAAAAATCATTTAGAATATATTTCTCAATACTGAGTGAAATTAATACTCAGATATGAGTACTAATCGAGTTAAGTGTAATACAAAGTTGAGTAAAAGTCACTCAATAAAAGGTGTACTTGAACTCAACACTTAGTGAGTTCACTCATTTTAAAGTGAATAAATTATCAAAATCGAGTCTTTCGTCTAATCTCGATTGAGTGAAAACACTCAGTGCTTTTCACTGTGTGAATTGAAGATTCAGTCAGTTCTGTAGAGTAGAAATTTCACTCAATCGGGTGTGGACAGAAATTGAGAAAGTATTGAGTGAAATCTGAGTGAAATTTCACTCAATTTTTTTTACAGTGTAGTATGTATACCTATGTATTTTTAAACATCATTATGAGATTTAAGTCATAGGTGCCCATAATATGAGTAGCGGTATTGACGGTTTTTTGTTATGATGAAAATGTTGTGTGATATAAAAAAGCAACAAAATATATTATCGATTGCAGCAACTATACCTAGTTTACATTCAGTATGTCCAATTAATATAGAACATTATAGCTATGTATGATTTTAAAAATTTGCTACCATTATATTTTGATAGTTGAGTTTTTGAAATTATTTGTTAGCTTCTTAAACAAAACAGACCCATAATAATTCAAATCTTTATCATCCAAGACTTCCAAGAATTATAAAGTAATCTAACGTCAAAATTTTTTAAAATTATTGCATGCCTTAAATGTTTGCAAAGTTAACAAAAATATGTCTTTGATTACCAGCAATTAATATATTTGGTCCAATTTATCAGTTCTGTATTATATCCGAAATTCAGATTACGTGTGACACAACGAAGAGTCAACGTGCAACGTGAACGACAAGAAAATGGCAAGTAAAAAAAATTGTAAAGTCTTAATTACTAATTACACAGTCGTTCTCTTGAGTTCTCCTCCCTAAAATCTATATTGCCTTCCCTAAGATTTTAAATATAAATGATTAAAACTCATACAAGTTTACCACAATTTAAACGTAAGATAATTATTTAATATTATTAAATACATAATTATATTAAAATATAACACTTACGAAGTTACTAAATATTAACTATTTCTACTTAATCATTTAATAATTCTGATAAAAACACGCTTGGTTATTTATTTTAGAAATCATACGGTCTATAATCATTAATATGACTATATTAACAATACTTAAATCAAAATTTATTTGAAGGAATGCTACTGTATTACAATAATTGTAAAACAAGTATGAAATAATAACTCGGAATAATTATTAAAAACTGCTCATCTTGTTATAGTCGGTTGTTATATGTCGGCGTCTTGTCTCTATTATTTTATTAGCCGTTTAGCTATAGTTTGATTTCAGATAATGCAGATTTTAATGTGCCATTTGTGTTTTTTTATTGGAATTATTATTTTTAGCATATTTGGTATACTCTATGAAGTTATTTTTAAGTGCTCCTGTCCATTTTTCAATTATTAGAGTACCTTTAGATACAATTAAAATTAATTAATTGGTGTATAGTATTTGTATTATGGGTTTGTTTATTTTTTATGAAATGATTTTTTTCCTATTAAAATAAACATAGCTTACTAAATCACTAGATAGCCATTTTTAAATACAGGATGTTAATTAAGTATGTGGCCAAACTTTAGGAGGTGATTCTTTGAGTGTTTTTAAGGTAAAAAGTTCATATAAACATGTGTCCGGAAATGTATAATTTTAAAGATACAGGGGTGTCAAGGTGTTTTCTAATAGACCTTTTTTATTAATATCTCAAAGATCCGTTAGCCGATTTTGTTCAAATTTTGCCGTGTTGTGAAATTTAATAAGTTAGCACTAATTAAATGATAATTATTATTTACAACAATATTTAAACGACAAAAACTTATCCCAATAAGTATTTGGCACCGCCTTGAATTCATTTGTTTTACGTTGGCGGTGGAAACCATGCAAGCTTTTTCTTTGTCCTAAGTTGTTAATTAAAAAAATAATTATCATATAAAAAAATATAGGTCCTAATAACCTAAATTTTATCAAAATATATCAGCAAATCCGATGAGACCCGAATTATTATATGTTTTGGAACTTAATGATTTAATTAATTATTCCCTTTAATGCATCGATTGTGCATTTTATCCTACGCGCCAAGAAAAAATATTGCATTAGTCTAAATTTATTATTTATGTTATTCCGCTCTTTCACGTATAATTTGCCCCCTGCTTCTCATACGGAAAGAGTTAGATTAAAATAGCCCAACTGTACTTAACAACTCATGCCTTGACGCATATTCTTTTTTATAATTGTTGTGGCCAAATCTTAATTTTTAAATTTTGCGCGCAAAACCGTAGCGGAAGTATCGATAGAGAGAGACAAGAAGAACTGTCAATGAAGCCGATCGAAGAAGAACGAAAAGGTTTTTGTCGAATTAATTTTCTGTAGTTATAATCAGTAAAGATATTAAATAGAAAAAATGTGTGTGATTAAGTAGAAATTACAGTCCCAACATTGGTCCAAACTAGCCGGATTCCACGACGTTGAAGTGGAAAATACAACAATTGCAAGCGATAGAAGACAATCGATCGAATCGACGCCATTTTCGATTACAAGGTTCCAGCATCGGCAGGGGTGAGTTTCCTATTTCTTTCAATTTCCATTTTTTATCGTTCACCTACCTTTTTTCCTTTAATATTGACTGATATTGATTCTATTATAAAAAGACAATAGCAATAATGAGTGAACTGGATAAACTAGTAACAGAACGCCGGCAAATAATACAAATGTTATGGCGAAACAAGAAGTACTTTGACAATCTCCTCCCAGAATCCATCGACATGAGAATTATACAAGAATTAGATTTTCGAGTGTTAAAATTAGAGCCTCTGTTAACAGAATTCAATGAAAAACAAAACGAAGTAGAGAAATATCCAGAAATTAACTTAGAAGAGCAAGAGCAAGAACAGGTGAGTTTTGAGTCGTTATATTATAGTCTTATAGGTGACATGAAATATTGCATTGCAAATTTTATCAGTAGTGCGGAATTACAAGTAAAGTCACCAGATCGTACAGATATGAGACAAAATGGTACTGCTATAGAGCCACAAAGAGCTGTACAATGGCCTGCTCTGAAATTACCACAGTTTAATGGACACTACGATGGGTGGTTAGAATTTAAGGATGGTTTCAATGCTCTTGTACATGACAACATCACACTAACTAAGGTACAAAAATTCTATTATTTAAAATCATGTTTAAGAGACGAGGCACTAAATTTAATTGAAACAATACAAGTCACTGAGGCAAATTACGATACCGCCTGGCAGCTACTATACGACAGATATGAAAACAAGGCTCTATTAATTCATAATCATATTAGGGCATTGTTTGACTATCCAACAATCGATACTAAAAATCATGGAAGTTTAAGAGCATTCTATGACGCAATTACGAAAAATATTAGAGCATTAAAAATTCTAGGGGAACCCACAGCATCTTGGGACAGAATCTTAATATACTTATTATCCCAGAAAATGGATAAGACCACTAGAAGAGAATGGGAATTATATGATTCTAAGGAAGATCTACCCACAATGAGTGACATGAACAAGTTTCTGAAACAAAGATGTGATCTTTTAGAAAAGCTAGAAATAACAAATAAAAGCACTTCCAGAAGTTATGAGAAAAGAGACAATAGAGCAAAGGGAAAGTTAAATGCATTCACAGCTATCGATAAAGGAGGAATGTGTTGTTATTATTGCAAAGATGGACATGCAATATATCAATGTGATAAATTCAAGAATTTGACAGGTGATCAGAGATCGATGCAAGTACGAAAGTTGAGTTTATGTTACAATTGCTTAAGACCCTCGCATAGAGTTAGTGAATGTTCACATTCAGGCTGCAAAAATTGTGGAAAAAAGCATAACACTTTGTTGCACAGCGACAAGGACAATGAGGAGAGGCCAAAAAACAAAGAGGAAAGAAGCAATGCTCAACCAGTACCTCAAGGGAGTACTAGTACAACGGCTATGCACACAATGGAAAAGGACAATGAATATGAAGTTGAAAAAGGTCTAATATTATCGTCAACGGCTATGGTAAAGGTCAAGGATTCAAGGGGCAATTTATTACAATGTAGAGCTTTGCTAGACAGTGGTGCACAAAGCAATTTCATAACCGAGAAGTTATGCAATCGATTAAACTTGAAATGCAATAAAATAAATAAGTGTGTTGTTGGTATAGGAATATCTTCTTCAAAGATACAATATCAAATAAACACTGAGATAACTTCATGCGATGGAAAGTATACGACTACACTAGACTGCTTAGTGATTCCAAGTATAACAGACAATTTACCAGTAAAATCATTCTCAAAGCAACGGTTGAACATTCCAGAAGGAGTTACTCTCGCAGATCCTCAATTTAACAAGAGCAGTTCAATAGATATACTGTCTGGTTCTTCAGTATTTTGGGGGCTTCTGTGTGAAGGCAACTTAAAGATTAAGGATTCTATGTTATCAATGAGAGAAACTTATTTAGGATGGGTGATAGCTGGAGGATTACATGCCGGAGACTCAATAGATCAATCAATAAATTGTCTTAGTACAGAACATCGTTTGCAAGACATAGAGCAATATTTGACTCGGTTTTGGGAAATGGAAGAGCTGACGAAGATGAAGCCTGTGTCCCAGGACGAACTCTTCTGCGAAAAACATTTTAAGGAAAATCTACAAAGGACAGAAAATGATCATTTTGAAGTAAGCATTCCATTTAAACCTAATATTGCAGATTTAGGAGAAACAAGAGAAATGGCTTTACAGCGATTTATGAAACAAGAAGATAGACTTTTGAAAAATGATTCAATGAGATCAGCATACATCGAGTTTATGGCTGAATACGAGAAAATGGGTCACATGACAGAAGTATGTGCCATTGAAGAAGGCGATAAAGCGTATTACTTGCCTCATCATGCAGTAGTACGAGAGGACAGCAGGACGACAAGGCTTAGAGTGGTATTTGACGCTTCGATGAAGTCAGATACTGGTCTATCACTGAACGACGTGCAATACGTAGGACCTTCTAGACAAGATGAGTTACTAGGTATTATCTTGCGATTTAGAAAACATGAATATGTCATGACAGCAGACATCTCAAAGATGTACCGCATGATTTATGTAAAACCCGAACAGCGACGATTTCAAAGGATATTTTGGCGCAGCGATCCCAAACAAGAGATCAAATGCTACGAATTAAATACAGTCACATATGGAACAGCATCAGCATCTTTTTTGGCTGTCAGATGTTTAGTTCAAGTGGCATTGGACAATGTTGAAGCCTATCCAGACGCTAGCAGATCAATACTGAATTCATTTTACATGGATGACTATTTAGAAGGCGCCAGTTCAGAACAAGAACTATTAAGGTTGCAAGCAGATGTAACGAAGATCTTATCTGAAGCTGGATTCCAGTTGCGTAAGTGGCTTTGCAATAAAGAGAATCTTAGTGAGAAATTTCAATGTGTCAAAGGATTAGAAGCAAGCATTCTATCAATAGGAGAAAACGAGTTAAATAAGACATTAGGTATTCTTTGGAATTCAAGAAAGGATACAATACAAATATTAGTATCGAAGATGATAAACAATAAGCCAACAAAGCGGACTATATTAGCAATAATTTCACAAATATTTGATCCCTTAGGGTTAATAGGTCCAGTGATCGTGATAGCAAAATTAATAATGCAGAAGTTATGGCAAGAAAAAGTTGGTTGGGATAAAGAACTTCCAAGCACATTAATATCAATGTGGACAAGTTTTAAGAAGGAGTTATCAGAATTGAACGATTTTACCATACCAAGAAGAGTTATAACATCAAATGCTAGTAGAATAGAATTACATGGATTCAGTGATGCAAGTGAGAAGGCATATGGCTGTTGTCTATATTTAAGATCGAAAGGCACATCAGGTGAATATGAATCCAAGCTACTGTGTTCAAAGTCAAGGGTTGCACCTTTGAAAAGGGTGACATTACCAAGATTGGAACTGTGTGCAGCACTTCTACTTGCTAGATTAGCAAATAAGGTAGTGGACTACATGCAAGTAAAATTCCAGAAAATATGTTATTGGTCAGATTCACAGATAACTTTAGCATGGATAAAGGGATGCTCAAGCAGATGGAAGACTTTCGTCGCGAACCGAACAAGTGGAATAGACAATTGGCTTCATATAGCGTCAGCTGACAATCCGGCAGACTTGATTTCCAGAGGGTGTTCCGCAGAAGTGCTACAGAAATCTAGTTTGTGGTGGACAGGCCCCGAATGGCTGAAAACTCTAGATACGGATAATTTAAGCACTGAAAGCATAAGATTAGATATTCTACCAGAAGAGAAATCAATAGCAAATATACTTACCTTAGATAATTTTGAGTTATTTGAAAGATTCTCGTCGTTACCGCGTCTTACTAGAGTATTTGCTTACTGTTTACGATTTATCGCTAGTACAAGGAAGAGAAAGGTGAGCAATTTGGAATTTTTGACAGCTGAAGAAGTGGACAATTCGTTGAAGAAATTAACGCATTTAGCTCAAAAACAATCCTATCCAGAAGAATATGATAGTTTATGCAAAAACCTACCTTTGTCAAAAAGAAGCAGTTTACTATGTTTAAATCCAATTTTGCAAGACGAAATTATACGTGTAGGTGGTCGATTGCAGAATTCATGACAAGATTTTGACAAGAAACATCCAATTATTTTGCCGAAAGATCATAAGTTGACAAAATTAATCTTTAGAAACGAACACAAGAGGCTGAATCACACTGTGGGCCTACGCTTTTATTATCATCACTTCGAGAAAGATATTGGCCTATTGATGGAAAAAACTTGGCTAAAAAATTAGTACGCGAATGTATCATTTGCTATAAGGTAAATCCAAAACACACAACCTACATCATGGGAAATTTACCTAAAGAAAGAGTAAACCAGTACTTACCTTTTTACAATGTTGGTTGCGATTTTGCTGGTCCATTCTTTTTAAAGGATCGTATGACTAGAGGAGCAAAATTAGTAAAAGGATATGTGTGTATATTTATATGCTTGGCAACAAAGGCTATTCATTTGGAGGCTGTTTTAGATTTGACAACTAACAGTTTCTTAGCCTGTTATAGGCGATTTATAGGACGCCGAGGAAAACCTGCAAGTGTTTTTTCAGACAATGGAACAAACTTCATAGGAGGCAACTCTGAACAAAAGAACCTTTTCAATTTTGTAAGAGAACAATTCAGGACAAATGAAGTTAATTTCTATTTTACAGACCAGAATATAAATTGGCATTTCATCCCAGCAAAGGCCCCGAACTTCGGAGGTTTGTGGGAAGCAGGCGTGAAGAGTTTTAAGTTTCATTTCAAGAGGGTAGTTGGAAAACGCAAATCTAAACTATGATGATTTTATAACAATTTTAATTCAAATCGAATCAATATTAAATTCCAGGCCTATCTGTCCCTTATTATCCTCACCTGATTCAATCCCTCTTACACCCGCTCACTTCCTGCTAGGAAGAAGTTTGACAGCCTTGCCGGACAAGTCGTACCTCGACATCAAGGAGAATCGTTTAAAGCGATATGAACGAAGAGGTGGCATACAGAGTACCTCTGTGAATTACAAACAAGAACAAAGTGGAGATCACATGCTGTAGCACTGCTCAAGGTTGGTAGCATCGTCCTTCTCCAGGAAGACAACACTCCCCCATTAAAATGGCCATCGGGAAGAATCGAGGAACTTCATCCAGGTCCAGATGGTGTAGTGCGTGTCGTAACAGTAAAGGTCAATAATAATAGTTTTAAACGCGCCGTCACAAGAGTGTGCTTATTGCCTACAGACTCTAATGATTTATAGATTAAGTTTGAAATTTAAATTATGTTAATGTTAATATTTGATATTCATAATTTGTAAGCAGTTTTAAATAATTTTGTTTGTATTTTTGAAATAGTTATATATTTCAAAGCGGGCGGCATGTTGTGGCCAAATCTTAATTTTTAAATTTTAAATTTTGCGCGCGAAACCGTAGCGGAAGTATCGAGAGAGAGAGAGAGAGAGAGAGACAAGAAGAACTGTCAATGAAGCCGATCGAAGAAGAACGAAAAGGTTTTTGTCGAATTAATTTTCTGTAGTTATAATCAGTAAAGATATTAAATAGAAAAAAGGTGTGTGATTAAGTAGAAATTACAGTCCCAACAATAATAATATCGGCTTTCAGAGACTAAACATCCATATCCATAAAATAGTTGGCCCACACTAATAAGACCTCATTTCGGCCCTCGGACGGCCTTGTTCTATTCAGCTATCGACTTTCGTGTTGACAAGTTGATTAGGCAGGTTATTGAACTCCATGTCGCCTCTAGCATGTCGTTTTTTCAAAGATGGGTCCCATATAAACGCGGCCAGAAGTATTTTCAATACTAAAAAATAATAATCATATATGTGTGATATGTGATTCTGCTCTTTCTCGTATAATTTGCTCCTTGTTTCTCATACGGAAATAGTTAGATTAAAATAGCCAAACTGTACCTAACAACCCATGCCTTGACATATTTTCTTTTAAAATAATATCCCTTTCTTTATCCGCCGCGCCGGTCCAGACTCGATCTTGCCCTATTCGCTCATCAACGCCGGCTCTATCAACTTAAGTACGTGTTGACAGGCAGGTTATTGAACCCATGTTGCTTCTAGTATGTCGTTTTTTCAAAGATGGGTCCCATATAAACGCGGCTAGAAGTATTTTCAATACTAAAAATGCTTTTTCCAAATATGCTAATGAGCCACCCTCGTTCCATTTGAAAAAATGGCGTCGGCGCCGGGAGGCACTAATAGCCACCCATACTAAAGTATAAGTTTGGTACATAAAAGTGAAAACCGCGTTTTCTTAGCTGTTTCTGAGTTATAATTTTTTTAAAAATATTTCATTTTTTTACCTCAAAAACTGCGACTTTGATTTTGATGTTATTACAAATTTTGTTGCAAATATTATTCCTAATCTTAAATTGAAAACCGCGTTTCGCTAGCTACTGTAATTTTGGAATTACAATTTTTTTAAATTTTTAACCATACTAGCATACCAAATCTCGTTTTTTTATTTGAAAAAATAAAAAAGTTATAAGGGTAAGCCACTTTTGAGACGCACCCAGTATAGCACCCAAAAAATACTTGCACTTATTTAAGACTAACCCTGTATAATGAGTATTTTGTAAACTGCCGGCATGACAGTTGTAAACATGACACACACATGACATATATGTAAAAATGATTTTTTCACTTTAAATTCACGTTAAATTTATCACGTAAAAGTTTTTTCGATACAAAAAAAAATATAAAAAATCTCATTGCTCTTGATTTTTTATTACTGTATAAAGATACACTCGTAAAGATTAGTCCACGGATTTTGAAACGCTCGGTACACATAACAAACAAAAAACAGAATAATGACAAATTTAAATAATTTAAACGTCACAAATTAACTGTGTGCAATTGAATAGATCTATCAACGTTAAAACGCACCCACAATGCAGAAAAATAATGATTCCAATTTAAAAAAAAATATCCATCGCAAATAGATACTCTATCCTTGGCTATCGCACATATAACCTACCCAATACGTTTACTTACTTCCAGTAGTACCGGTACCAATCTCAGTGGTACTATCTTAAAAAAATAGTGCTATTGATACCGTTTGCGCGTAAATTACATTTTTTAAACAAGGTTATGAGTTTTTGAAATTACTACTAGTTTTTTTGAAAAGCGTTGTTTATAAATGAAAAAAAAATAACGGTTAATTTAGTTACCTACCTGTTACCAAATCGAATCAACAAAAAAAACTAATTGTTTTTAAGGCAAATTACGCAAAATCTCCGCACTATTGTATGCTAAATAGCATCTTGTGAATCCTTGTCTTTTTCATTCTATTCTGCGCGTTCAAATTAAGTTTAAACATTTTCATAATATGGAAACGCAAAACAACAAATGTTTGTTTATGTTTCTCCGCAGAAATGTGATAATTTACTAAATTATAATAGTTTAAAAATGATAATCGGAAACCGTTGTGCTGTGATAATTAGTGTTCTTTTATTAATAATTATAAGTGGATTCTGTAGCGTTGATGGATCAATAATAATCATAGAAGATGCTAAAGGTAAAATTCTCTAATAATGATTACAAGAATATCTGTCTATTAAAAATCAAGTAATTTAAGTAAAAATGGTGTTCAAGTAAATAAATATTGCTTTAATTTGTATTTGACTTTCTCAGGAAGTTGTTTCTCTTTCAGTATTTATTTTATTTTAATAAAACTTCTATATGACAAATAGTAATGCTCTATTGAAATATGCTGTTACTTAGTCTACAAAAGTATACAGGATGCTACAATTTCGGGGTACGAGCACTGGTAACTGCCTACTAAAAATCAAGTATACCGGGTGCGTCTCAAAAGTGGCTCACCCGTATAACTTTTTTATTTTTTCAGTTAAAAAAACGAGATTTGGTGTGTTAGTATATGACATAAATTAGGATTGATTGACGTATTCAATTGTTTTCGGTCACTTCCGGTTTCACCGGAAATGACTACAACTTTTGATTTTTAAATGACACCCTCAGTATTTTATTACTTTATTCGATAGAAAATAACACTCTGAATAAAATGACATGTCATATGTCAACTTTTGACATTTTCGCATGTTTTCTTTAAAATTATAACTTGCGGTTCGTAACAAAAATTTGACTCGAAATACCAATAAGTGTGTGGTATTAAATTATTCGTAAAAAAATGCTTTTTCCAAATACAGGGTTGTTCACCACATACGACACGGAGTATTGTAACTAAACGATTAGATTTTTACAAATTGTACGTTTTGGGTTCGTTGAAGGACATTAGAGCTACAATTTAAAAATATTTTTACAAGATACAGAGTGTCCCAAATGTGTAAAAAATATTATAGTTGTATTTTTTTAAATGGAACTCCCTGTATATTATTCTATTTTTAGATTCTACGATTAAAATAAAGGTAAATTTGGTTAAGGTTTATCACACTTAAACTTTACCGTTTTTGAAATATTTTCAATTTTATAAAATTGCAGTAAAAATGTTAAGGCTTCATTTCTCCAAGGGTATCAAAGTTTTTAATACTAAATATTTATTGAAGATTATTTATTGATCAGATATTGTGTTGCAATAATAAAAATTTTACTACCTTATACAGAGTGTCCAAAAATTTATATTAAATAATTACTAGCTTTAACCGGCAACAACTTGTTTAATTTATATGGAACACCCTATATATTTTACGTAAATCAGATGCACAATGTAATTGTCTATCAAATTGTATTGTTCCATTTTTTACCCATCTCCTCAAGTTTTCATAGAAAATGCATTTTCATTTATCACTATACCAATGGAATATTGACATTTTAGCTTATTTTTAAAGATGTAACAAATTTTCAAAGGGTACAGATACTAATATTGTCGATATAGTTCGCTTATTTAATTAAAAAAAAAATAAAAAACTGTTTAAATATTTTTTGTTACAGAGGACCAATTAATATGATCACAGTATTTAAACTACATTAATTGACTGTTTACGTTGTAGTAATAATTGCTCCAAATACTAAAAAACTGAATTTTGTGTGTGTGTATTAGACAGTGTGGTAAAAAGTAACACCTTATAAATTTTATTTCATTTATTGACGAATGCTTATTTATAAAAACAGACACATTCATTTTCATAACTTATTATTATATTGATTTCTGAGCCAAATCCACATTTATTTAGAATATATTATTAATTAAAACAATTTAAGTTTTGGTGTTTTTGGTAGGAAATAATGGTGGTATATTTAATTGGTATACTCTTTTACAAAGATTTAAATAGTTTTTTTTATGCCAATGGGCTTGCAATATTTACCACCTGTACATTTTGTACATATTATGGTGCTATAAAAAATCTGAAATGTCAATATTCCATGGGTATAGTGATAAATGAGGTCTAAATTATAAGAAAATGCATTTTCTACGAAAACTTGAAGAGATGGGTAAATAATGGTATAATACAATTTGATAGACAATTACATTGTGCATCTGATTCACGTAAAATATATAGGGTGTTCCATTTAAATTAAACAAGTTATTGCCGTTTAAAGCTAGTAATTATTTAATATAAATTTTTGGACACTCTGTATAAGGTAGTAAAATTTTTATTATTGCAACACAATATCTTATCAATAAATAATCTTCAGTAAATATTTAATATTAAAAACTTTGATACTCTGGGAGAAATAAAGCTTTAAAATTTTTACTGCAATTTCATAAAATTGAAAATATTTCAAAAACGGTAATGTTTAAGTGTGCAATTTAAAAATCAAAAGTTGTAGTCATTTCCGGTGAAACAGGAAGTGGTCAAAAACAATTGGATGCGTCAATCAGTCCCAATTTATGTCATATACTAACATACGAAATCTGGTTTTTTTATCTGAAAAAATAAAAATGTTATAGGGGTGAGCCACTTTTGGGACGCACCCGCTATATAAAAATTCAAAAAAGAAAATTCTCGTAAAACCTAATAAATACGAACATGTTTAAACTGGGGCAAAGTTGCCCTGGGGATGTTCGGCAAAACGCTATCAAAAAAGTTTGAACATTTTCAAGGATTGCTGAGTTTTTTGAAAAAAAAACTGTTTTTTTGAAAAATCAATTTTATTTTTTCTTGTCATTCCTTTTAAGAAAATCAAAAATCTAATTGCACATTCTAATGACCACTTTGTCAAGGCCACCTGGTAGTATTTTTAGATTTTTAAATTAGCTGATAATTTGCGAGATATGTACATAGGCCAACTTAATTTTTTTAAATACAGACGTGCATTTTTTATTTTATGCTTTGAAAGAATTCGGTCTCCTTTCGTCAAAATTTGAAAATCTACAAACACTTGGTAGTTTAAAAAAAATATTGGTGGTAGCCTTGACAAAGTGGCCATTAGAATGTGCAATTAGATTCTCAAAAGTAATGACAGGAAAAAATAAAATTATTTTCCAAAAAATCATTTTTTTCAACTTTTTTGATAACATGTTGGCAAACATTCCAAGGCGCAACTTATGATGTTCGTATCTATTACGGTTACGAGATAACAATCCTCGTGGCTCGAATTTGTAACACCCTGTAAAAATCAAATACCAAAATTTAGTAAAAGCGATAAAAATTTTGTGTAAATTACTACATAAATAAAATAAATAAACCAATGAACCAATTTTTGTAATTTTCATTTCAAATAAATAATTTATTTGCCAAAAAAAAAAGTTAAATTACATTGCAGGATAATAATAATAGAGCATCATCATCCCCATCACATACAGGGTGTCCCAGAAATAAGTGCAAGTATTTTAAGGGGTGGTAGATCTCGATAAAAGAAACTCTTTTTCTCTTTATCGTTTTTTAAATAAGTCCAAAATAAAGGAGTTATTTTACTTTGAAAATTTCCAAAAAAATGATTTTTTGCTAAAATTTTGAGAACCACTGGATCTTTTCTGGATTTTTTTTTCTTGTAAATTTAATCTACTATCTATGTTGACATATTATCAAGAAATTATGTTTTTTAAATAAAAACTAAAAAAAATTCCAAAAAATTTTGATTTTTTTTTCGCGAAAAAAACCTCATAAGCGTGTTTCTGGGATTAAACTATACTACCAGTTAAAATACTTGCACTTATTTCTGAGACACCCTGTATATGTTTAATGTCACAAACATGGCTAATAGAAGGCTAATGACAACGCTTTATGTTTTTACCCATATAATGAATTAAACATTTTAATCATTAAAACACGAAACACCTATTCAGATTTTACAAAAATAGTGAGAAAAAGATTATTATCAGCTTTAATAACCTTAAGAAAAAACTCACGTATTAACAATAATATCCTCTCATTAATTATTATAATCAGCAAAATCTGTGTTAAGATGAAATGTTAAGATTTTCAAGCATACTATAGGGACTATAGTGTGTAAATAAATAATTTAAAAAACATCGGACGGGGATTGCTTTTTAAAAATCAAGATATTTTTTTTTAAATAATAATGTAAATGATAATCTCAAATTATATAAATACCTATGTTCCAAAGCAAAAAGTTTTATGTCATATGTCAAGTTACTAGATCAATAATTGTAGCTAAAAATGTTGAAAGACGCCTGCTATTTTTTTTTCGAAATTTGATGTAAGATATTACCCTTGTTTATACAAGGTGTCCCAGAAATAAGTGTTTTAAGTGGTGGTAGATCTGGATAAAAGAAACATATTTTCTCTTTATTGTTTTTCAAATAAGCCAAAAAAACGGAGTTACTTTACTTTGAAAATTTCCAAAAAAAATATTTTTTGATTAAATTTTGAGAACCACTGGATCTTTTCTGAATTTTCTTTTTTATAAATTTAATCTACTACCTATGTTACCATATTATCAAGAAATTATGTTTTTTAAATAAAAACTAAAAAAATTCCAAAAAAATTTTCAAAAATTTCCGAATTATCAAAAAATTTTTTTCGCGAAAAAAACCTTATAGGCGTTTTTCTGGGGTTGAACTATACTACCAGTTAAAATATTTGCACTTATATCTTGGACACCCTGTATATACAAGATATTACTAATTCCATTTATTGGAATTGGAATTTTATTTATTTCTGCTAAGGTTTGGTTTGGTTGGTGCTCTTTATAAAAAAAATGTAGAGAAAAAAAAGTTCTAAATTTACTGTTATATATCAGAATTTTAGTTTATTTTCATTTAGATATGCAGCTAATTAATACCAAGTGTGTGGTATCAAATTATTTGTAAAAAATGCTTTTTCCAAATATGCTAATTAGCCACCCTCGTTCCATTTGAAAAAAATGAGATAAGATTAAAACTACGATTTGGGTATCTTTTAACCGACCAGGACAAGACACTAAAATCATTAGACGATCAAATCTATTTTTCCAAGGCTCTTTGATTAACAATTAGTGTTTTTAACACAGCCATGGCACTCTAGATTGAAATTTAAAATACAATTTGTTTTTGAGCAAATATGTCATAAGGTGATATCTGAAGATCTTAATAAAATGACCGAAAATAATTGAATACGTCAATCAATCCTAATTTATGTCATATACAAACATACCAAATCTTGTGTTTTTATCTGAAAAAATAAAAATGTTATAGGGGTGAGCCACTGTTGAAACGCACCCGGTATAAAATACGGATTGAAACGGGTTTTGAACTGATTTTAGAATGAAATTCAAAACCTAACTTTTAATTATTAATATAGATTAGATATATTTTCGATATAAATTTCGAATATTGTATTTTATTGAATTTATTTATTTTTTAATTAATACAAAATCCCTTTATTTAACAAAAGTTTCAAATCATCTTCACTGGTAGCATTCATGAAATGAATGATACCAAATCTCTTTTTTTATTTAATAAAATAAAAGAGTTATAGGGGTGAGTCACTTTTGAGACCAACCCGGTATAAGCAAATAACTTTTTAGTAAAAAGTCGAAAAAAAATATTTTTTTTCTGAATTTGTTCATTTATCCATATACACCCTGTATAAAAAACACAAATGAAATCTAAAGCCGATAAAAAGATCACATCCATCAAATTTTGGAAACACTAATGGTCATTGTGGTAAAATCCTTGGAATAATTAGCTTTTGTTTTAAATCTTTTCGTAATTTTGATTGAAGTTGGTCTTCAAATGAGGTCGTGGTATGATATTTGCATATACGTAAACGAATATCGGCGGGGAAATTTGCACTTGCTTAGTTGCTACTATTTACCTTCAATTACATATCTTATAATATTAAAATAAAGCCAACTATAAAACTATTTATATTCATATTTTTAAATATGTTTAAAATTTTTCCTGTCAATATTGCTAAATTTTTGAAATGTTATTCCTCAAAAACTACTACATTGACAAATATCCAATAATAAAGATACCGTGTCAATAATATTAAGAGTTTATTTATTATGTCTCTGGAACTATTTAAAAGCCTTTAGACAGGTCTTAGAAATAGTGTGTTTCCCTTGTTTTAATTAGTTTTTAATATTTATTGATAATTTTCCAGCATGCTTCCGAAGGACACTTGCTGGTAAAAGAGTCGTAAGGAGTTTAGTAAGAAAACTGCTCTTCTGTGATACTGTAGAACAATGCCAATGGGAATGCGGTGACGAAAGAAGATTTACTTGTGAAGGATTCAACTACAGGTAAGCTACATACTGATTAAGCTATAACTATTTCTCGAGTCGATAATTGGAGTTATGTATTAAATTATATTTTATAAAGTAGCTATATTGGCCAATTACACAACACCTTTTCGGATCTATTGTAGCTCTCTTATCTGTCCAGTCGCATCCTTTTCAAAAAGTTTAATGACTTGGAAACTTTTTTTTCCAATTGTCATCGCCTAGTACATACCATTTCTGTTCATAATGTCTATTAAGCTTGCAACGCCCTATAAATAGACCTACTACCTACTACAGTTTTGACAGTTCTCCTGGCAAAGTACAAAAATACAAGTAGTAGACAAGGAAGTTACATGTTAAATAGTGACGTAGGTGTGAAAAGGAGATATTGTTCTCTGTAGGTGCGATCCAGTAGACGATCATAGTAAATAGAGTACACTTATGCGTTTCTTAATCGGGCAGAACACTGCGGAGCAGAGTTTTTTGCAACTCTACGAGCGTTTGGAGTACACCCGATCTGCATCATGTTAAGATGAAGAGAGAGATTTTTTCTAATTTCCGGCTTTTTTTGGTATAACAGATTTTGTGTAATTTCTAGCATATAAACAAGGATTTTGTATTTCTAAGAAGCAATTGCCAGTATTTATTTTCAAGATGGAGAAATTTACGTTTTAATTATTATGATCTATTACAGCAGCAAAACAGACCAGCAGAGAATCGACAACTCGAACGTAACTCGATGTCAAATCGACGTACCTAACTCGTATTAGTAGACCGAGTATATAATATACTAATAATATAGGAGTAGTTTATCAGAAAGTACTTCCTCGAGGAGATGAGAGACATTGTCGTTGGTGGAGAAGCTCCTAGTCAGGTGCCAGGGGGAATCATCTCTGGTAATTTGGCTTGGTCTAAGGAGCATCTCATTGAATTGACCCTGGCTGTGTAAAAAACACGAAACACGTGAAATTGCACCAAGACGTATAACGATGCCGGATGGGACTACTCTGTCCGTCATACCAGGCATACTGTCTGTGGGGTTAGCTTAATCGCCTGGACAGTTAGAAGTTAGTTAGTTAGTTAGAAGACAACCTCTCCAAAAACCTAATTCATATGAAGGCGGAACCAGGTCGAAAGGATGCGTGGCTTGATAGAAGACTAGCCTCAAATGGTCTCAACCAGCCTTGGGGCACCAGTGGGCAACCAATTGTATTCCCACATTGCAACAACCCATTGTGTCCCTTATTTCAACATGCGGGGCTCTGTAGAAGTGGACCGACTAACCCTTGCGGTGTAATTGACCTCAAATCCAAGGAGGCAATAGGAAAAAATTAATCCTCTATTATATGGAGACAAAATGGAGACAGATCCTCGAGTCTCCACCTCACGGGTACCTAAGCCGGAGAATGTGAAACTCACGGTGTGCTAAACCCCAACCGTGGAAGGGTGTATACCCTCGTAGATGGTAGATACTCACTCCTCGGAGGATGAAAATCTGTTGTCACTGTAGGATGGAAAATACCCTGTCCTTCTACAACAGGAAGATCCCCATGTATGACGAGTTATAGACTGATGATATGTAACTCAACAAAGGAGGACGCAATAGATATTTAAGGCCGCGGTGATTAACCCTCTCTTAAGGGGCGGCCCACAGACGGTCAATATGTTTGCGCAATAATATTGCCCAATAATATTGTTAGTTATCTCCAAACAGTACAATAAATTTGTTCAATAACTAGTTTCGTTTTGCACTTTGGTTAACATGGATAAGAAAAAACAAGCTGCTATTGCTTATCAATTGTTTTCTATCAGCGTCAGGGTATTTTTCCTTATATATCCCTAGTAGTTCATCATATTGTTATTTTTTTTTTATTTCTGTTGCTATATTCTGTGCTTTTTGTATTCAATAAAGCTGGCAAAGAATGGCACATTTCGATGACTTCTAAAATAAATTGTCTTTCTTCCTCTTTTGCTTTTGATCCCATATTTGCTGAAAAACCACTGATCTAAATATTCTAAATAGAGCGGAGTAGCGTGACAAACACGCAGAGAAAACAAAAATATACTGAACTATTGTGCAATATTATCCACACACGATACAAACTAATCACTATTGTACAATAAAAATCAAACTGTTTTTGATTGACACAATATATTGTGCAACCTTTCAATGTAAACCCTAAACGGTCAATATTATTGCACAATATGAAATATTGCGCAATAATATTGACCGTTTGTGGGCCGCTTACTGATTCTACATTATCAGAAAGTAGCCGGTTAAATAGATATCACTGAAAAACAGTGGCGTATCTAGAGATTGAGTCTGGGAGAGAAAGTGACAATATTTATATAAAGTAGATACTAAATATAAATGAAATTTTCGGTGAAAGGTATTGCGACTGTGGAAAGAATATACTTGGATTGGTTTAAATTTCCTATTTTGCTTTGTATTAATAACTTCTATTGTTGTGTCTATGTCTATTAATATGTCTATACAAATTTAAGTTTCCAAAATATCTTAAGTACATTTTTTGTAAACACATTAGACTTGACCGAAATTAAACCTTTAACTTTTAAACTTTTTCTTACTTTCTTAAAAATTAAATCTGATATTAATATAGTGACAGAGACGGAGAATAAAACTAAATATTTTCGCTTTTCTTACAACACTAAATTCAGTCATGGATTGCCTAAATATCCTTTTCATCTCTCAACATTAGAAAAAAAAGGTGAAATTTTGGTCACCTGTTCTATTCTCCCCTCTATACGGAAAACTCCAAAATGAAAACAGAATTTGTGTGAAGACAAAAGGAAAAATAGAATTGAACTATTAATGAGTATATTAGAATACCTACTTCAAATTATAATAATAATAATAAAAATGAAGTCTTCTGGATCTTCTTCTTCATCTAGTGCCTTCTCCTCATTGGAGGGTGGCGATCATGAACTAGAATTTCTCTGCGTCTTGTGCTAAATGCATAATTGACTTCTGGATAGGAGTTATTGGAGAAGATGTATTCAGATTATGAAGGGTACATTCGATATAGTTTAGTCAGTATCCCAAGTATATCAAGTGATATTTTGTCACTATACTAAAAGACATAAAAAAGTATTTAAATGAAACATTTTATTCATCATCTAAAATATCTAAATTTAAATGAAATGCAATACGATAGTAAGTTTGAGAATGCAGAGTCATCCTCACGCACAATCAGAGGTCAGATCTTGAAACAAGCGGAAATGCAGTGAACCATTCGCAATAAATGTAGAGTATATTTTTTATTACAGTTATAATATATATGTTATTGTTAAAATTTACTAATCGATATTGTAACTATGAATCATTATGAATCAAATGTGCGACTTTTTGTGCGACTAGATAATAATAAGCCATTATTGATAAAGAAATATCCGGAAGGTTCAATCTCCAAGCTATTAGACTCTAAAAAGGACACGACTAAACAATGTAATCTAGAGAAATGAGAATAACGATATACCTGAAAAAGTGGCATGAATAAGCAAGGAACAGACCAATAGCCACCTCAGAAAATGTAATTTGTGTAAAAAATATACGATTTAATGGTCTAGTTTATTAGGTACACCATGTATAATCAAATGATATGCCAAATGGCTGCGTTAAAAAGAAGCCAAGGTCTATAAATGCATTTTTCTCATCCATTTAGTCATGAATTTATAAAAAGGTTTTGTTCAAATTACTACCATTATTTTATTATGTTTATTTTAATTTAATTGCATTTTAGTTTGACTGGAAACATATTAGTCATGAGAAAACCTAAAAACCAGTTCCCCTCATGCTATAAAATACTTATATATATTTCTTAAAAAACGGAAAATGGTAATACAGGCATAACACTATTGTTCATTGCAAAATTCTAGACTATGTCATATTACAAAAATAAAAAAATAGGTCATTGTATGATATTTGCAAAACAATAGTATTAATAGAAAAATATTTTAGTTTTTTTTAGCTTTTTCTTTGCTAATTGTTTTTTTTCTAATTCTATGACAATATTTGTTATTGCTTTCGACTTTTGATCCTTTTTTCCTTTAAAAATATTAATGGATTTTTTTTTCTGAGAAACGATTAATTTCTATTTTAGAATGACTTATATGAAAGTTCATAAAATTTTACAGAGAATTAAAATCTACAAGAAAAAATGGAGGTATTCGTTTAATATATTAAAATTGTTTTGCCAACTTCCGCTGTTTCCGGAAGTACGGGGTACGGCTATAGGTACTAAAAATATTTCTAATCGAAATATCTTATTAGGACATAGTTGTGAAAAAATAGTATATTTGCTTATTAGGAGTAAAAATGACGGTTTTTGTGGCGAGGCTGTACGTTCGACATACAGCCGAAGCGCAAAAAGTCATTTTTATTCCGAATAGAACAGGCTATTTTTTTTCAAACGCTACAAATAAGTTTTTCAACGATTTCAAACGTTCCAGATACTACGCTTGTTTTGTATTTGTAATTCTGGTATGGACTTGTGATGGGTGTCATAGGTTTATCACAAAAGCATGGTAGTTTACCGCCGAACCAGAATGGCACTATTTGCGAAGCTGTACAAAGCATATATCCTCAAAGTGGTTTACTATTGCCTTCCTCGAGGCGATGACTCGATGGATGCTCAATTTAGATAAACAAATATTTCTACTTAAATCAATAAAACAACCGTATTGACTAGGACTCGAGCCCTCATCGAGGGTTAGGTAGCAGTCTTTAACTATATAACGGTTATATAGTTAAAGGTAGCAGTCAAACACACTTGGCGCTGAGCCATTGGCTTCCACGGCTTCCACAAACAAAATATGAATATAGTATAAAAAATGGTACAAAACTACATTGTTATAATACAATTTTCCTTCTTTAGATTGGATCCATCCGGTCGAGGAAAGGGAGAATGCGAATTGCTAGCCTTGTCACTGCCACAAATCGATGTTGTTAGGGAAATCGTAACTGATCCGGATTATGACTACTACACCAGAGATAGAAATGCTGCTCAAGTGAACTGTGGACAAAGGCCCAGCAACTCACTTTTTTCAGTTTATGGAGATAGAAGACATGGATACTATGGGAACAGAAGAGGTGATGGATCAGGGGCATACGGTATTTTAAATTGTTACGCTATTAACATACTATAAAATTTCAAAATAATAACGTCGGATATCATCTAACCCACTAACGCAACAATTACTTCAAATCAGTTCAGCTCTTAGATTCGCATATCTAGATTTTTCTAGTCTATATTGTTCTCTGCTCATCAATCCTTACGTAAGCGTAAACTGACTGCGACACTGTTCTTAAGGTTTAACATTTTCATGAAGGAATGAATTTTTCCTCAATATAAAGAATTTTCCTAGCTACGATCTATACAGGGTGTCCGGAAAGTTAACGATAATACTGAAAGAGGTGATGGACCAGATCATAAGCATCCAGAAGAACTTATGTTATTATGACCTTAGTAAAAAACCGACGGTTTTCGAGATATTGCCACTTTAATAAATTTGTTAAAATCGTCCACTTGAAACAAATTTTCGGCTCACTCCTAAAAAAATTAATAATTCTTAAATTCTGATTTAGGTTTTGCAACTGTGAATGGTCATAAAAAGTTTTATTTCACTTACGAGAAATTTAAAAAAAAAATCAACAGCCTAGACTAGGAGGCCATGAAACAAGTGTTATCGCCATAGCATCAAGCAAAAACACATTTATTGTTATTTTGTGCCAATACTGTTAATTACTTTTGCTTGTAAGTATCTGGACTTGTGTGTTACCTTTTGATTTGGATTTGATTGTATTGGAGATCAACTGAAGTAACCTGACTTTCCTATGGACTTTGTGTTGATTGAACTATTTGTGTTGGTGATTGAACTGTTTAATATTCCGCTGCCGTATACCGCCCAGGAGTATGCAAACATGTATCTCATTTATGGAGAATGCAGAGGAAATGGTCTAGACACACACAGCTAACCTTTATCGGGACAGATATCCAAATTTGGCACGATATCCATTCTGGTTATCGTGCATTTATCAATGAATCTAAGAATAATAATTTCCTTTAGGAGTGACACCCGAAAATCTGTTCCAAGTGGACAATTTTAACAAATTTTATTAAAGTGGCATTATCTCGAAAACCATCGATTTTTTACTAAGGTCATATTATAATAATAATAATAATAATAATAATAATAATAATAATAATAATAATAATAAAGACTTTATTGCGAAATTTAAAAAAATCACAAAAGGCGAAGTTGAAGCTTAGCTTCCTAACTTAACCCTAATTAGTAGACATAATTAATATATATTATATAAAAATATTATAATAAATCAATAATAATTATAATAGAAAACTAAAGGGTAGAATAACATAGTTAGAATATACCGAAAATCAATTAATTAAATATTTATACATGAAACATGAAATAATTGATAAGTATTTATATATGATAGATACACAAAGAGAATAATTCTAAGAGTAAAAAAAAGGCAACCAATAATTAATCCCGTATTATAGATAATTATACAGAAAGTAATTAACAAGTAAGTACATTAAGTAGATAAATAAATAAATCAAAACAAACTAAAATGGAGGCATGACGGGAGATTATAAGATCTGAACATTTAAATTATTGAAGAATTAAATATTAACTGTCGTATAGAACTTTTAAATTTCAAATAAGAGTTAATTTTAAGATTTACAGAAATTCTATTATAAAGAATACATGCCTGATAACTGAATGATCTCTCATACAGAGTTGTGCGATGTATAGGGGGAGCGATATTAAACTTGTGACGCAAGTCCAGTGAATGTTCATCATACCTAAATTTAATTTTATCAAACAAATAACATGGACTTTTATTATTGATTATCTTATAAATTAGTAAGTATGAATGAAATTTTCTTCTCCCAGCCATGTTGAGCCAACCAATTTCCGCCATTTTATTTGTGATACCTGTATCATATTTTTTTATACTGCCTATCAAACAGATACAACAGTTCTGTAGTCGTTGAATGCGTTTAGCATCATGATCTAAAATACACGGTCCATATAGTGAGTCACAATAGGTAAATTGTGAAAGAACTAAGGTGTCACATAATTTCTTTTTGAGATTAGGATTTAGGATGTAACGTTGATTGTAGATCAGTTTTAAATTTATGAAGGCCTTTTTTATACATTTGTTAATATGTTCAGTAAACCTTAAGTGAGTATCCGTAATCACACCAAGGTTCCTTGCAGATTTACAGCTATTCAACCTCTTTCCGTCCAAAGACACAGAAAACAATTTTTCATATTGGTCTCTAGCCTGTATTCTACCAAATAAAAGACCGTAACATTTATTGGGATTAATGTCTAAACAATGATTAGATGATGTCTTTAGAAGTATACTAAGTCCACTAGGGAGGATGGCATTGGCTTCCAATATTTTTCCTGGTTGGAAAGACATATACACTTGCGTGTCGTCTGCATATAAGCGAAGCGACGTTGAATCTCTCAAACCCGAATCGAGCTGTGATGTGTAGAGGATAAAGAATAATGGACCCAGAATTGATCCTTGTGGGACACCACAATTAATATGTCGAACACTTGACAGCGTGCCATTTAATCTTACAGATTGTGTCCTATCTGAGAGATAACTCTCGACAAGTTTCAATGCGCGACACTCAAGCCCAAGAAACTTTAATATTGCTAATAAGAGTTGATGATTCAACTTATCAAAAGCCCTCGAGTAATCCAAGAGAACCAAACCAGTGAGGTCACCCCGATCAGCAGCCTCCAAAATATCATCCGTTACCCTGAGTAATGCTGTTGTACAACTGTGGTTTTTCCGAAATCCCGACTGAATCGGAGGCAAGAGACTATGTTTATTTATGTATTCTCTCAGCTGGGATTCAAGAACCCTCTCAAATATCTTAGAGAGGGTTGGAAGGATACTTATTGGTCTTAGATCACTCATACTGGTGATACTGGATACTTTAGGCAATTGCGCAATGTACGGAAGAATAACTGGATAGCAATAAAGGAGCATGGCCAATCCAATACCATCGGTACCCACTGCTTCGGATTCGATCGATAAAAAAGCTGAGCGTACCTCGTCAACCGTAGCGATCCTGAACTCAAATGACGCATTTGTTTTCTTCCTGTTATGTAAGTAGAAATTCAAGGTATGAGGATCGGGAGTGGTAGGCCTAACGGAACTGATAAAGAATTCGCCAAGATCCTCAGCACTACCCACAGAATCAGGAATGTGTTTGGAATCATTGGAATAAACACCCAAGTTTCTCAGAAGCTTCCAATTATCTTTTGCACTGCGGTTACGTAAATTATACTCAAGAAAAGCCTTTTTTCTCTTTGAATAGTAGCACTTGTAAAATTTCGAAGCTGCCTATAATACTCCCAATTCTGAAGTGTCTTTCTCTTTTTTTATATTTGCTTAATGCTCTGTTTCGAGTCTCCATCAAATATCTTATATTTTGTGTGATCCAAGGTGCCTTTTTTTTCGTTATGCGAGCTGTCCTGACTGGTGCATAAGAGTCAAATAAACTCACTATAAGGGCACTGAACACACTCACCTTATATTAATGTCCTGAATATACAAAATATCCTGAAAAGGAGCATTTAAAAGTTCTCTAAAAAAGTCTTCGCGATTAAAGTTCTTAAAGTCACGGTATGAGACAATATAGGGCTTAGGTTTAGATATAAATACCTTCAGTTCACATTTAATAAGAAAATGGTCGGAAACATCGAGGCTGGGATCAACATAACTGTTTAAAACACGACTAGAATCAGAGCACACTATCAAATCTAAAAGCGTAGCCCCGGTATTGCCAAGTCTAGTAGGCTCGTTGATAGTCTGAGTCAAATTGAAGGATTGAAGAAGTGACATAAACCGCTGTGTATATATTGATTCAATTTTTAAAATATCTACATTAAAGTCACCAAGGCACAATAGATTATTACATATTAATAAGTTATTAGAAACATTGTGCTCGAATTCTTCCAAAAGTGGTCAAAATTAAGAAACCCTGGTGGTCTGTAAACTATGCCAAAAGTATTATTGAGATTATTTATTTTGCAATTAATCCACAATTGTTCCGAATAAACAGTTATCATATCACCAATAATAGCAAAATTAATAGAGTTACGTACATAAAATAAAATACCACCCCCTCTACCTTCCTCTCTGTCACGCCTTACTACTCCAAATCCATCAATGTCTATTATATTATCAGGTACAAGTTTTGTAAGCCAAGTTTCTGACATGGCTATAATATCAAACATACTCGAAATAATGTAATTTCTTATAACATGTATTTTAGGTAGAATTGATCTAACGTTAATGTGGGCAATTTTTAAATGATTACAAATTTTCACCATAATCAATTCTTTGCTTTAATACTGATAAATAATTTAAATATATGGAACAATCTTTACTTTTAGCGGAGTGATCCACAGGTACAGTCTTTCTGAGTTTTTTATTATGTTTACACAATTAATACAAACATCATTAATAGATTTACATGCATTAAACTTATGACCCTCGGTACACTTAGAACATGTTAATGTTCCCCTACACTCTTTTTCAACGTGACCATAACCGTAGCATTTGTAACATTGAATGATTCTCAAGTAATCCGATACATATGATTTTTTCCATCCTATGAATATAAATTGCTTTTCTAACATCATTTTTCGTATCATTGGGCTTACCTCAATAATTAAATTAATTTTATTAAAATACTTTAAGTGTGTGATTATTTTTATTTCAGACATCGCGGATTCCCCAATACCATTCAATGCCACAATATTCTTAATAACCTCTTCATTATTCGTATAGTCGCAAACTCTAACATCTTTAACAATTAATCTAGGTTTAAACATTTTTGGCACATTAATGTCGTATTTATTACCTAACTTTTCATTCAGACCATCTTTAATTTTCTTCAACGAGTCTTCACTGTCACAGTCAATAACGACGCCCCCTCGTATCTTCTTGGTTCCATTAATACGGGCCTCGACGCTCGCTGGATTTAAAGTTTTCGTCACCTCCTCGTACACAGCATCAATTGGCACAGTTTGGTTTTGGTTTTTTATGACGAGAATTGATTTTACACTTTTTTGCGTTTTAGCCACTTCACTGTATGAATTCCTAGGCTGATTCGGCGATGATAGTCCACTCGACTTATCGACAACACGATTTTGGTAGGTTGAAATCAGCGCCTTTTGCGTTTCATTTGAATATTTCAACTCTGATATTAAATTATTTAACAGTTCCTTCTCACGGTTAAGACATTCAACTTCCTTACGTAATGTTTCACACTCATTTGGAACTAGATTTTCGTCTATAATTTTGTTTGATCGCCAAAGAGTTTTACAGTGATCACAAAACCAGAACAAAGATGAATTTTCAGTTAAAAATTTATACCATGAGTCTCGTATATTTACACAGCTTGGATGATAACACTTTTTACAAAAATCGCACTTTATGCACTTGGCTGAAACAATAAAATTGTCGGAGCAGACGCCGCACACCTCTACGTCGCCCGCCATATATTGACAAAAAAAACAATGTTTTTTATGTTTTTCTGGATGCTTATGAGTTGGTCCATCACCCCTTTCAGTATTATCATTGACTTTCCGGACACCCTGTATATTTCCTAAGATAAGAATTATTATATTAAATGTATCAATATAATAATTCTCATCTTCTTCGTTCATCCAGGCGGTCGATGTGTGTTTGGCTATTTCTCCGTAGCATTTTTCGCTAACCGGTCAATTGGCATTTTGTGCACATGGTCTCTCCACTCTCTTCTCCTGTTTCTTGTCCATTTTACTACGTCCTGTTTCACATATTTTCACATAATTTTACATATTTCTCTTGTGTCTTCACTTCTCCGGCCATTAAGGTATATACTGTAATAAATCTAGGTAAGTGTTCGCATTTCTGTTGTTCCTAGGAGCCATTTTGTTATTGTTTTCTCCGCTCCAGTTTCTATCGTGTACGTCATAACCGGTCTCGCGCCTTATAAAGTCATATAAAAATCTTTATACCTAAGCCTTACCTAAAATTCTTACTTTGCTTCTGATGCTCATATTTTTATTTCGCCAAATTATATCCCTTAAATATCTTGACGATCTTGAATGATGCTTTTGTTTTTGGACGTTTACTTCCGCCTTGAGATTCCTTTTATTTTCGATGAGGGAAAAATCTTGCATAGGATACCCACAGTTGGTAGTGCCAGATTTCTACCGGCTGAAAAAACCTCCCCCAACTGGAATCCGCTCTCGTATTGCTTCAATGCAAAGGATGTCTAGATTTACGTCATGGTGCTCGTTGTCTCTCTTCCCTCTCTTTTCAACTTATTATAATTTAGACTATCCGATATATTACCTTCCATGATTCTTCCCCTTCAACTAAGGACATCATAAATGCGGGTAAGTCAAAGTCTCTGACCACAGAAATGCATGATTGAGTTGTATGCATTTGAGTTGACCACAGTAAATGCATAATGCACTCTCAACCCTACGACGACCAAACAAATTTTTTCTATAACATTCATGGTCAGACAATGCTTGACTCATGAAGTAATCGACTTCTCCATATTGTCTGTCTTCAACCGTAGTTGTATGTCGGGTATTAACCTGTATGTCCCTCTGCCATATATTCCGTTATTCCATTTCTCTTACCACTGTTGTATTTCATGGTATCTATCATATCGTTCTTGTATGAGCAGTTCAATAGGCGTTATTTCAGCTATAACTCCTATAGCCTCTCCAGATGCCGTTTTTGATGTGCTGCATACCTTATGCCATACTTTATGCCATGCCGGTGCAGCATACAACAGCAGTGAGTGTACCACACTAGCAAGTACTCTTCTTTTAAATGCTCTAGCATTTCCTACATTTGGCATGAGTAAGGCTAAAGCGTTGACAGTTTTCTCGGCCTTGGTGGTGGTTTTCTTAACTTCTCACACACTCAGTATTTCAAAGAATTTCTTAGGTAAATTACTATATTATTATAAAGGAACTGCCTTTATAAATAAAACTGCTCCGGGGACATTTTGCTTTTTCTGGTCAGTAATACTGTTTTATGTGAAGCTACGGTGAGTAGATTATTCTCTATCCAAATTGCAACTCGTTGGATTGCCAAGCTGACGGTGCTCCTCAGTATAGCTTCATCTTTTGCGTATGATACAATGGCAAGGTCGTCTACAAAGGCAACTACAATTGAATCGATTGTTGCTTAAAAACACTAAGTCGGTTTTTACAACTTTTGGGAAATAAAAAAAACGTTTTGTATTAATAAATATAACTTTATTAGTAAAATTTATTTATTTGGGGAAAGATAAGATATAAAGCCATTTGTTCTCTACAAAATTATTTATTGAAAAAAACACACATTGTGATATAACAAATACAAAAAAAATGACTTAAGGTGTTTTAGCAAAACAACTGTAAATAAAACAAAAGTTTACAAAAACCAACCAAAATAAAAATGTTTTAAATTATTATTGGCTTAGTGCTCTTTGGGAGCTCCTTGTTTCCGTGGTTTTTTATTTTCTGAGTTAATAATTTCTTCATAAAAAAGCTTATGTTCGTTGTAATAAAATTTTAAAGTGCTTTGATTTAGTTTCTAAAATTGGAAGAGGGCCTTTGTACGCAGGAAATTTAGGGAGTTGGAGCACTTGAAAACACTACGAAATTATAATATAATTTACCGGCAATTCATTGGTTTTAAAATTTTAGCAGCGACATTTTTATCGCGGTAATTTTTATGTGCATTTCCTTTTACCCGAGAATCTCGAATACTATTTCGTTTATAATCAGCATCGTGTCTAACACCTTTACGCTGTTTTTTACTGTTCAAAACTTCGTTTTCTTCCATATTTAAGAACACGTACAATCAATAATCTGGTCACAAAATGATTAATATTTACCAAGTTTAGACGAGTACAATAATGCGCATTAGCTACATGCACATTTCGACAAAACGCATGTCTTGCAATAAATATGTTTGTTTATTTATACCTCTATGCAAAGGACAATGATAAGCATCCATTGCTTTTGCTCTACGGTAATATAATGAAATAAAAGGAAACTAATTTTTCGCTTAAACACCCTAAGACGTCCTATGACTTAGGTAGTTTAAGTGCTACATCGGTTAAGATTGCAAATGTTTTAAAGTATATAGAACAAACGGACTTAGGGTGTTTTAGCGTCAGTTGATAGAAAATATCAAATTTAATTGATTTTCATGGTAAACTCATTTTGACCAGAAAGTGACTTAGAGTGTTTAAGTAACAACCGATTCAATTGTTTCATCTGGCATTTCAATCCTCAATAGTTCATCATAGAGTACGTTCCAGAGCATAAGTCCCAAGACACCGCTATTTACCATCACAGTTATCATCACCCTTCGGCCTCTATTATGATTATTATTTCTGAAAGGTAGGATGCTATATCAATTAGTCATTGATCTATTTTCCTCTTTTGGAGATTGTTCAATATCACTTGCCAGGAAGCGTTAAATGCATTTTTGACATCAATTGTAACCATTGCGCAGAGTCTACGATGCTTACTCTTGTATGCACCAGCTTCTTCCGCTATCTGCATTACTTTAAGGATAGCATCCACAGTTTGTATTCTTTCACGAAAACCATATTGTGTGTCTGAGAATCCCCCTTTGCGAGCACTTTCTTCTTCCAGCTTTATTCGTATGAGATATTCATACAGCTTTTTTTCTACATCTCGAGACTGAGTAGTCTGAAAGATGCTGGTTCATTCAATAAATTGGTTTCCCTACTAGTTTGCCTATTTTCCATTCCGATGGGAATTGGCTTTTCCCAGCTAATGCCATTATACAACGATAAAACGTCTCCAGGTTAGTTACGAGCAGTAGCCTTTAGTACTTCTGATTACTGGGACCAGGAGCTTTATTATTTTTTAGTTTGTTGGACACAAATCGTTAATTGTTGTTGTTCACACAAATCGTTAATTGTAAAATTTAAAACTTATTATTATCTAAATAAAATAAAAAAATATCTTAAAAACTTAATTATTATCTAAATAATTGTAATTATCACAGTCATATATCACAAGTGGGTGAGTTGGGAACAGATGTTTTACAATTTTTTCCATAAAGTCCATTATAAGTTGAGGTTTAGGAGGAAAACCCCTAATAGTTTTACGCATAACTATCTTATATCCATCTTCCCAGATATCACAGTCAATATTATCACACAGGTTTTCCAACATATTTTCTTAGAGACTTTAAAACATTTGCCTTGGAGATTCAATTGCTTTCATATTTGCCTCTAGGTGGCATTTATAATAATTAAAGGGTTGTTCTTTTTACAGACAGGAGACCAACAGATATAGCTCGACCTCTCCGCCCTCCGGGAGAACGATGGGACTATGGAACTCAACCAACACGACCAAGACCATTACCACCCATTGATCAAAGACCGCTGCCCGATGGGGAAAGAAACTACGAATATGGAAATCGCAGAGGAGGTAAATATCTGCCCCAGACATTTATATGGGACGTTCTATGCCTCTGACAATTCCGCACGATTGCACTGAAAATGAAGAGCACTTGCATTGAGGATATTATCTATATACAAACTGTTAGACACTGCCTTTAGAAAATAAAACATAAACGGACCTTTAAAATTTAAACCTACGAGTACTATTAGATAAATCATTTTTGATGTTGGCTAATAATGCCAATACATCTAAAAATGACATTTAAGCTTAAGACTATTATTCATTTTCTTCTGAGCAAAAATTACTTAAGGTATCATGATTTAGTACACAAGCAAAAATTTTTATGAAAAATGCATTTTTTTCAAAATTCCAATAATAAAAAAGTTGTTTCTCTTGTAAAGACAATCCGGGGACATACTGTAGACTGAAATTGAAGAAATTTGAAATTGAGAATTTTTTTTTAATTGAAAATGTCAAAAGTTGACAATATCAGATAATATGATATACTATGATACGAAGAATACAAGGTATGATATTGCGCAGGGTGGTCAGTACGTCACAGGTGATAAACGGCACCATTGGTCGGCAAGCTCTGCGCGCCAATTTCAAATTGTCAAACAGATTGTGGCATCTGTGAAATTTGATTGTGTAAAAATGTGAAAATAATTTTTCAAATGTCAAGCTCGATGATTTGACATAACTTTTTGGGTTATGTCCTAATTCTTCCCTATTTTAGGTCTTTTTTTATTAGTGGCAATTGAACAATCTGGATATTTTTTTGTATGGCGTATGACGTCACTGCACTGGTGGTATGCGCAAACTTAACGAAATTGGAGCCGCTATCGATCATACCTTGTTTTCTTGGTACCATGGTGATATACCATTCTATTAAGAATGTCAGACCGAAACTAACTGAATACGTTAATCAATCCTGATGAAACCCAATTTATATATGACTTATGTCATATTACTAACATACCAAATGTTATTAATAAAATAGTTATAGGGGTGAGCCACTTTTGAAAAACACCCGATATTTCGACTGTATTCTCAAAAATAAATTTATCTTCACAAACTAAGACTAATTTCTTCTATCATGTTAAAATTTTCATACATACCAAACAAAAGTACAATATATGTTTCTTTCAACGGCCAACTAACATAAGTAACAAACAAAATATTTAAAGGTTCAGTATATGATATATTAAGTTCAATAATTTAATTTAGACCCTATATTTGCAATATGTTATTTAAAACATTAAAGCAATTACTTAGTAAGAAATAACGTTGTTTTATTTCTTTTCAGACTACTCATACGATCATCACTTACACGAATCACAAAGTAATAGATTCAGTAACCATTACAAAGAACACAATTTAGATAGTTTTGATTCGCACAATGATGGTTATAGGCCTTATAACGGAATTCATTACCTACCGGCCTCGAACGGGTGGAGGCCCAGTCATAGACACTCTCCACCTCATTACGAGCCTGATAGTTCCTTTAGACCCCCAAACCATTCATTCTCAGAGAGTAAATTCATTCCCGATAGAACTCCTCCAGATAGATTACCAAGTAGAGATCATTGGGGATTAAATAATTACGGTTGGGGGTCCTATGGAGGGCATTACGGTAATCCAGAATCTTATCACCCTCACCGTGGAACTAATGGCCATCGTCTTAGTGTACATAGGTAGGACTACATATTTATATATTCCACTCGAAAGAATAAAAAAACACCAATAAAATATTATTATTAAAAATGCTTCAAACGCTTACATGATTTCTTGCACAAAAATGTTCACATAAATTTATGCATTCATATTATTTGGTTTTTGTTGAATGGTTTTATACTGAAAACCTTCTACTGTGGACTCAAGGGCCTAATGTGGCTCAAACAGAAGAAAGGAATATCGTAACAAAACAAAAGTTGATCACATACAACAATGATGGCTTTCATTGAATCAGCGTTTATAAAACAGTCCGATAGAACTCTTAGCTTCGAAACATAAGGTTTCTTGTGAGGTAACTCGGCAGCGGCTAGACGCTTCAGTATACAAACCTGCGGCATTATCGATAATACAGATATAGGTTCAAAAAAGTCCCATGGTATTTAAGACACTATAAGAAAATCTACAAAATAAAATAGTTATTTTTTTGTAAACACTGCTGCATTAACAGCGCTTTCAGATGGAGCGGAGCTTTCAGATGGAGTAGGCCCGTCCGCGCTGTTCGTCCGCGTGTTTTCAAGATAGCCGTCAGACGAAATCATCCGGACGGGGCATACGCGACCCATGTAAAATTGTTTATATAAACTCATGGTTAGTGTTGCACAAGAGTCTTGAAAAAGTCTTGCAAGACCAAGAGTCTTGCAAGAAATTCAAGACAAGACTTTCAAAATTTCTTGTCTTGAATTTCAAGACAAGACAAGACTTTAATATGCAAGAAATTTCAAGAGGCTTACAAGATTTCTTGAGAGTTAGAAATGACACATTTTTTTAAGTGATAATTTGGTCTTTGCGCAAGTTATGCCGGGTTTATACAATATTTACATAGTCGTAATCACAATCATAGTCATAAAAGTTAAACTATCCACTTCTTATAAACCTGTTGACATCTACCATGAACTTAGCCTTTAATTATGTTACCCAACTTCACTGATATATAAATTATGGTTATGAAAATGTTCTATAAACGCATACTAAAATTGCGTTGTGATTATAACGATGATTAAGACTGTGATTATGATTACGATTTATGCAAATGTTGTATAAACCCGGCATTAATATTGACCAGTGTTCATTTTTTTTTCTATCATAGCCAGTGTTTTAGAGTTGAGAATGAAATAAAATAAAGTCGAGGCAACAATCCGTATATTGGTAATTGGTATTATACACAAAATTATATTGGAATAATGGTATTATAAAAAAACTAACGGTAGTTGAAACTAATGGTGGGTTCGTGGAGCACGCTATTTGCGCTATTTGGTACTACTTTTCATGCACAAATTTTTTCCGCAAACAAAAAGTAGTATCAAATAGCGCAAATAGTACACTTTAGCATGACCTTTCCGTACACCCTGTATCCAAACTTTTCCAACCAATCTTTCATAATAAAAAAATAAAATAAATACCATAAAAAATAAAAGTAACAAACGGGTAAACAAAGTAGAACATAATTTACAACGATAAACGACGCGACGCTTTCTATGAAATAAAATATAGAAATATTATTACGTCTTTGTTAGAATGTAAAATTTTTCAAGACAAGAAATTTCAAGAGTCTTGCAAGACAAGACAAGACTTTGCCATTCAATAAATCTGCAAGACAACACTTTGAAAATGTCGTGTCTTGAATGACATGACAAGACAAGAAATTGAGATTTTCAAGACAAGAATTCTTGTCTTGTGCAACACGACTCATGGTACTGCGGACGGTCCGCTTCATCTGAAAGCGCTGTAATCTAACGGAGATCAACTTGTGATCAGTGATTTGCTAATAAACAAATTTGCCTAACGGACAAAAAAATGCTTATAACGTTTCGGGAAGTAGATCTCTTCCTGTTGTCTTTTTTTGTCCGTTAGGCAAATTTCTTTATTAGTAAATCACTGGTGACAAGCTGGTCTCCGTTTGATTAACGCCAGCAGTGTTTACAAAAAAATAACTACTTTATTTTGTAGATTTTCTTAGAGTGTAAGTGGCGAAATATCCATAGGACTTTTTACGAAGAGATTAATCCGCCACAGAGGTACAGACATTTTTTTAATACAATATTTTTAGAATATTTTTATAGGAAACGTGTTAGCACTAGATATTTTATTCATATGAACTAAAAAATATATAATATTTTAACGTAAAATAGACTACATTTTCTAAAAGAAATTATTGTCCGGATAGTTCACTGAAGCCTATTGAAAAATAATCGAAATATCTGCTTAAAAAATATAATACTAAGATTCATTCAAGAGTTTCTACTACTAAAATTAAAATACTAGTTTTTTCATGGTTTACTCTTTTTGCTATTATACTTAAAACTACCAAATTCGACTTGCTCCGAGAATATCTTTAATTAATGTGTAAATATTACTTTCCCACCAAAATACATATATTTATAATCTAGGTAGGTATACAGAATTATTTTGTAACACAACGAAATATTTTTTCGGTTCCATTCTCTAATGTATTTATTATACAATTCTACATTTTTTTTCTAGAAATGAAGTTGACAACAGACGACAATACTTCTATTCCAAACCGGAGCCTCCAAGCGATTGGGGTATGTACGGAGGATCTTATGGAACTGGAGGTATTAATTTAGAATACAAAGGTTACGGAAATAATCAAGGTTATAATTACTGGGGATTTAATAAATATCACGATCAAGATTATGGTTTGCTGCCTCCTAGAAAGCAAATTGGAAATTATTTACCTCCTCCTGAAAATAGTTACTTGCCCTTGCCAAAACCTGGTCATTATCTACCATCCCAACCACACATACGGGATTTTGATAACAGTATATTACCTTACAAACCAAGAAGACCTCCACCGCATACCTTAAATGAAGGTATACCTATTATAAATGTTTATAATCAAATAGTAATATTATTATTTTCATATTTAGAATGCTCCCTTCGAACTGCCACTGGCTTTCGGCTGCATAAAAAAATCGTAAAGAAATTCTTTGCCGTTCCTAATATTTATGAATGTGAACTATTATGCGTCAAAGAAAAAGATTTTCCTTGTGCATCCTATGCATTCAGGTAAAATATAACCAGAATAATTAATACTTGCTACAATGTATTGTTTTCAGATATTCTATAAGTCTAAGTTTTCCAACTGATAACTGTTATTTAAGCAATAGAAACTATAAAGAACTAGATTATTACTCGGATTTAGAGCCTGATAGAGACTTCGACATATATACAATGAATAATAAACAGACATGTTCCGAACCTTTAGTTATTTTAGAGAAGAAACATAGCGGTAAGAGAAATTGTAATGTAACTATTACAATTAGCACACTTTTCATTGTAGAATGTTTCTGGAGAGTTAGAAGTAGTCATAGGTTGTCAGATTCAGTAGTAAGAGATTCATTAACAGTTAATTCAATAGTGGATTGTCAGTTGGAATGTCTGAAATCAAGAGGATTTACATGTAGATCTTACAGTTTCAGGTTAGTATAAACTACCATGACCTGTAGTAAAACGGATAGATTAAAATGTTTGTAGTCGATTGAAAGAATTGGGAAGATACGCAACCTAATGCGCGAATTCGTGACAAGATTGATTTGATTTCACCTTACGTCTCAAGTGCTCTCCGGTGGAGCCTCTACTCGTTCTGCGGCCAACGCATAGAACACTCATAACGAAGACATATCGAAGACGGCGTGGAACTAAACGCGACAGTGTTGCCATATTAAAATGTGTTATATCTGCAATACTTTTGACGAAAATACCTTCGGATGAAAAATCCGCATTTATGTATTGAAAATTTATGCGTAAATTTTATTCCGAATATAGAATAAACAACAAAAATAAAAATTCTTTTATAGGTACTGAATATTTCGTATGATCGAAAAAAGTCGTTTAGTTGGCTTGGAAATGACGACTATTGACATTTAGCATAATAATTTACATATGAAATATCAGTGATCTTCATTTCCAAGCCAACTCTGACGCCGTTCTTTGTTTAATCATATATTACTAGTTCAAGCCTGGCGCATCCGCCACGACATCAGGAAAAAAATACTTTTTATTTTTTTTTAATTAAATGAAAAACAAAAAATCCGGCGACGACAGTTTTTAGAAGAGCCAATTAGCTATCTTTTAGTAAAAAAAGCAACTTTCTAAAGCAAGTCGATACTTCAGTAGAGAATAGATAAACATTAGCATTTTATATATATGTAGATTATATTAAATTGTTTACTAATAGAAAATCTGTATTATTAACGTACTGTACCGAAAAATCCGTAAATCTACGAATGAATCCGTAGTTCTGGCCACACTGCCTCCGGCAACCACCCACTCTGTCCACTGAAAGCAGAACTACGGTACAGTATTCTTTATCCGCTGCGCTGTAAACCACTCATCAGAGCGCATCGGCGCGGCGCAGGGCTAAATTAAATCTCGGAAATGTACGGTAACGCCAGCTACATCTCGAACATATGGTGGGTTCATACAGCCAAATAAAATAAAATAAGAATAAAATAAAATAAGAAATAAGGAATTCTTATTTGTGTGCGTTCATACAGTCAAATAAAATAAAATAAGAAATATATATTTGCTCATGCGCAGTACGATGAGGCTGGATAAAAGTTAACTTTTACGATTGTTTATAGTAATTTTACTATTTATAGTATATTTATTTATCCGTTGCCTACTATATTATACATTTTACTTATGTGAAATTATAAAATAAATTAAATCCAAACTGAAAATATTTGTAGGTTAGAATTAAGCGTGCGCAAAGCCGTTTTCACATAAAATAAAACAAGAAGTTAAAAGATAAAGACTTCTTATTTTATTTGTTATTTTATTTGGCTGTATGAACGCATGTACGGTATCCCATATAACCAACTTTCTTATTTTATTTTATTTTATTCTTATTTTATTTTATTTGGCTGTATGAACCCACCAATATTTTGTGCCACGAAATCGCCCATAAGGTTGCGCGTCTTCTTATTTGTTCAATCAACGGTTTTGTCTTAATGTACCGATTTTAAATTTTTAAGCAGTTTGTAACTAAAACATTTGACTTTTAATTAAAATCACCTCATTATACGAGGAAAAATAAAATAGTGATATTTTGGTGAAAGTTTGAAACACCCTGTGGAATGGTTAGACCAAAGTAAGTAATTTAAAAACACCAGCCACAAGATGCATCTCGTCTCGATAATGTGATTTTTAGTTCATCTCTATAGCTTTTTTTGATGCACATATATTTGTCTTTGAAGAAGACAATAATGATTAGTAACCATTTAAAAAATAGTGTTTATTGTTTCTGTAATAGCATTGTTATTTAAAAGTCTTATTATTGAATTTTGACAATTACTGTGGCAGAGATGGTTTTAAGTTCAGAAGTTAATCTCTACTATCTACCATGTTTAATTAAAGCAACAATAGGTAACCGATAAAACTTGTGTACTTAAAACCATATCTAGAGTAATTGCAAATTAACGATAATAAAATGACTTTTCAATGAAAGTGACAAAAACTATAAATACTATTTCATATGTATGTTGATGAGGACCAAAATCAAAGGCATACATTTAATGCTAAAATTGATATTACCCGTTAGATCTCCAACAAAAACAATTGAGTTAGGGGCGGATACAGGAATTTATTTTAGGAGGGCCCAAATAAAAAGTAATGTAAAATATACTTTTTTAGGCCCCATTTTTAAACCAAAAGCCTAAATATTTAACCCAATTTATAGATTTATGGGAAGCCCGGCCACTTGGGCCCCCCTCTGTATCCGCCACTGAATTGATTGAAACAAAATTTAAACTATAGAGAAAAAATGCAGCTTGAAACTAAATTACCTCTTAAACTCCTTACTTTGGTAAATCATTCCATAAGATGTTTCAAACATTCACCAAAATATCTACATTTTATTTTACTTGGTATAATAGACAAATAAAAACTATAAATTTAAATTTAAAGAGGCTAAAATGTTAACTAATTTAGCTACAAATCGCTTAAAAATCATTAAAATCGGCCCACTACAACAAAATAAATTGAACTTTTATGAATGCCTACATAAAAAAATTAAGACATCCATTTTTCGTGCAGGTCAGTGTATTTATATTAACACTTCATTATACAGACATCCATATCAGTGAAGCACTGCTTGGGTAAATACAAAAGATAATAGATAAATAAGCCTAACTGGCCTCACCCAAAGAAAACCCGTTGGAAAAACATAATTATTGTATGATCAAAAATTCATTGATGTTGCCAATTAAAAAAAAAAGGGGCAATTTTTTCTAATTGTTAGTGTATATCTGTCACCATACAAAGCACACTTGGTCATAAAAAAAATTTAATCCTATCGGATTTTGTTAAACTTCTTAAAAAGACTTCTGGGTTTTTCGCCAAAAAAAGGTATTTTTAAACAACACTATATTATATATTATTTTAACTTGTTTAGGTACGGATCGCCAATCATTGGAGGAATTATAGATAATTGTCAACTCACTGACTGTCCACTTTTCGAATTAGATCCCAAAGTACACTTTGTATATGAACCTGGCTTCGAAATATACGAAAGAGGAAGTTTCGGGCACGGATGCGAAGTCGATCATTTCGGTATCAGAGGAAGACCTCATATTATAAATGATGGCGCGAAAATAGATCAAAGTAAGAGATGCAATCTAAAGTAGACTCATTATTATATTAAATATGTTTTAGTATGTTACATTGGATTTGGATCTGCAGCTAGATTACTACCTCAGGCAACGATAAAATCTACCCACGTACCAACAGAGTTAGATTGCAAAATAGAATGTTCCAAGGGAAGAGAAGGAACATTCTTTAGGTGTATGTCATTTAGCTTTAGGTAAGAGCTTAAAAGTAACCATTATTTCAATAAAATATAAACTTCAACATCTATATTTTCAGTACTGGTAGGCTAATTGCAGGCCAGAATTGTTTCTTGTCTGATATCATGCAGAGAGATTTGCTACCCAATGTTGATTACATTCATGATCCTGATTCGTGGTTGTTTACATGGGATCACTACAACCCCGATTGTGTTGACTTCGCCTACAAAAACGTACACAGTGTACAAAAACCAAATGGGTTCACGCATAAATATGGATTAGGTAAAAAAAATTAATAATCAAATCAATAAAATTTAAATATTTCATATTTTAAGACTATCCTAATGCTCTGGATGTTTGGCGAGCTTATAGCGTAAACGGATGGCCATGCAAGAGAGGAACTTTATGTAAAGAAAATAAAGAAGCTGGGTTCTGGTACTGTGAGATAGAAGGTGGCAACCATGACCCGTGGGATTACTGCTGTAGCCCTGACCATCAATGCGGTTTGTCCAAAGGATATCCATATAGCTGGTAAATTTACACTATTTTTTTTGTCGTGTTCCTAAAATATCTCGACTCAGGGTGTGGTATAAAATGGCAATAACTAACCTGTGGCGAATAATATAACATTATTATTTCTAGGTGCTACGTTGGACCAACTCGGACCCAATGGCGCAAGTGTAGTGATTATTATTATCCTTACATTCACAACGTAAATGACCGCTTTGACCAACATGCACCACCTCCTTCGCATTCTCCTGGTTATAGACCAGATCGACCTAATGCACCAGATAAACCAGAAAAACCAAAACCAAGCTTAGATCAATACGAGGAACAATTTGACAATCAATTTTTGAAACCGCCAAAACCAGGTAATAATAGTATAGAAGTATAAATATATATATATCGATGTACTTAATTAAAGTATCAATAGAAAAACATTAAAACCCCAGTGTAATTACATCAATATTAGGTAATGCTAATATTATTGTCCATTGTTATTAATATTTTATTATCTACACAGAATCGTACCGTCTCTTACCATATCTACCAATAGGGCAACAATATAAAGAATAGTTTTATTTGTAGAGTTACAAGAATTCAAATTCAAACAAACTTGTTAGTAGTTTTGTAAATGGAAATATTTCCATGGAAATGGAAATATTGGAAATTTCCAAACGTGTCTCGGAAATATTAGAAATGTTGGGAATATTGGAAATATTGGAAATTTTTTTAAAAATACTTAAATCTTGTCATTAACGATTCAAACCCGATGTTTATTAATATATCTTTCATATTTTGTAACCCTATAAACATTAAACTTACTATAGAACAGTTTTACAAACATATAATAAGGTGAATATATCGAGTTTGAGGATTCACCAACTTATTTGCAACCTCGCATTTCTACGGGGAAGTCCCGAGCTCGTAAGTCGTAGCGTAGTAAAAACTCGCTGGTCTTCAATTTTGACCAATTTAAAAAGTGTATACAATACTAGGCTCAGTTTACAAGGAGTTGCAGTTAGTCAAGAAGCAACATAACTGATTGATAAAAATGTTAAGCAGTGGATATTAGATGACGAAGTATTTTGGACCCAAATTTCCCCAATGGTTAATACCCATATAACATAACCCAATGGTTAAAAATTGTAGGAGATAATAGCAATATTCATTTTGCAGTAAAAGCATTTTGTGATATTAGAAGGGTAATTCAGAATAATCTTGCATTGTCCTCACTTGACGACAAAGAAAAATCCGAATTGTTGGAGTTTGTTGACAAAAGAGAAAAATTTGCTATTAAACCCATTCATTATGCTGCAGAATTACTAAATCCAAAATCACAAGGTTCTGAACTTGATGAAACCCAAATTCTTTCTGCCATAGAATGCATATACTTAATATATTAAAAAATAAACTCAATATAAAGTAGCAAGAAATAATAGATGAAATAGCAGATTACCGTTGTAGAAGTGGCAAATTATTTGAAAATAACTTCATATGGAAAAGTAGTTTTGATAACCCAGTCTCCTGGTGGAAAGGATTGTGTTGTTCATCTTCATTATCACAAGTAGCTTCACGAATGTTGATGATGCCAGCGTCTTCGGCTGCCACGGAACGCAGCTTTAGCGTTTATAGTCATATTCATTCAAAAAAGAGAAACAGGCTTACTAATGATAGAGCCGCTAAGCTACTCTATGTATCCCACAATGAAAACTTGCTGAAGAAAATAGGAAACGGCGATAGATCAATTTTTATTTCCGATTCTATATTGAAGATTTTGAGGAAGTAGACTGGCAAGAAAATGTTATTGAGTGTGATGCTGATGACAGCGACTAGTGTTGCCTCTTGCTCGACTAGTGTGTCAAAAATTTTTTTTTGTTCAAATTTAACCTTAATTTATTTTTTAATTTGAAGAATAATTCTTTATTTGTGTTTATGTATAAGCATTTTGTGTTTTGCGATGTTTTGTTATGATTTTTATAAATAAATATTTCAGTTTTTCTTATTTTTGAAATATTTCATATATTTCCAATATTTCCATATATTTCCAATGTTTCAGGAAATATTTCCGGAAATGTTTCCGTTTAATATCAAATGCTTAATACTACCCTCCCACCCTGATGAAGATGTAAACGAAACATCGTATCCAACATTGTGGGGTGGGACCGTGTGCACCTCCGCTCACGTAGCCTACCCACCAAATTTGGTCGTGACCAGACAACATCAACTTTTGACATTGCTTACGTCAAAATTAACTGTTACAAGTCTTAGTCCAATCTATCGCCGTACCAAATCTCATTTAAATCGGAAGATTATTTTGCCATTGATGATGGGGTTTCATAGTGCACGAAACGTCATCAAAATATCATGAAAAAGTCCACTCTTCAAGCCCCATCTACATTACGAGTTTTAGCTGCCTAGCTCGCATAGGGACCGAGGTATGACGCTCCAAAGACCCATCTCAACTTCCTCATTGGCTTATCACTTTTTCGATCATTACCACTTTTTGTGACGATAGCTCGTGTGTCACGGCTTTGGATTTTACTCTCAACGCTCGTACAGAAGTTTCAGTTCAATAAATATATGGATAAATTCTAGGACAAATTTATGCATCAAAACAAAATGGAGCCAATCAACTCGTCGCGCACCTAAAACATTATATTGTAATCGCAAAACAGTTTCCGATGCACGTCATCAATCATATCGACATTGACACTAAAGTCTATAAACCTGACTAAATAAAATTTTGGCAAAAATATTTAAATTTGTTGTATAATTTAAGATACCGAGCACCTTTTCATTTGACTTTATAGAGCAAATGATTGTAACAGATATTTTATTTAGATTAAAGCTGCAAAAATTAGCTTAAACCAAATTTTATTATCGATATGTTGGTCACATTGCGCCGTTTTCAGCAAGGTTGTCGTTTATTATTTGACAATTATCCTAATGTCAGTCATTATTTTGTATAATATCGTGTTGTTGTTAAATCTTTGTGAGTAATTCTCGTTTTTTGCCTATTTTCATAGTTTTTTTTTTAAAAAATGTACTTTTAAGCACAAATAGTTCTTTGAAGAACTAAATTTTCGAGTTTTTGTATTGCATTTCTTGAAATAGTGTGTTGAAAATATGCCTAAGCATTTAAACAGTCGAAGCAAAGAGTTTGTAGTTTCCCTGATAAACTATTTTGAACGAGAACGTGACAATAAAGGTCCTTTATTACGTAAAAATAAAATCTTTAAAAAATGATATAATAAATATATTTATTTATCACTTTTAAATTAAGATTCATCTCATAAATCCATCACAATCTAGCAGCGCTGTCGCCATCGCTTGTCACTCAAAGTTGATCACGTGTATCGGAAATTGTTTTGCGATCACCATATAAGTATCGTCACACGGTGATGTGAACGGCGAATAGCGCAGCGAGGTAAACTGCTACTGCACTATGTTTTTATCATAAAAAATACTAATTTAATAAGTTAAATAGTTAAATCTAATGACAACCAGTTTTACATTTTCAAATACCCCAATCCGTTCCAAAGATATAGAAATTATTTAAATATTCAAGTTTGAATCCAAGATAACCGACTCGAAGACTTATGTTTATAAATGTAAAAAGAAATATAACGTTTCAGGTGGCTTTGGTGAACCTCGTAGATGGCCTGTATCGTATCTTCACAAAGAAAACCCTACGAACGATACCGAAACAGACGTTGAAAGCAGTTCTAACACTATACCATCCAGAAAAAAAGAGAATACAAAATTGGCCGCAATAAAAAACCTAATAGACGTGATAAAAAATAACGATTTCAAAAATGTCCAGTATCACATAGCTAACGACTCTAATAAATCAGACGACGTTCTTTTTGTGAAAATACCACTGCCAAATTACGATGAAAAAAACGCAAGCACAACGACTGAAAGACCTAAAAGAAGAAATAAATTGGTTAGCAGAACAAAGGTAAACTTGGAAGTGGTGGACGGCATGCAAGACCGAAAGTCTAAAATGCAGAAGTCATTAGCTGAGCAAGAAGTTAATGACGATTCAGATATGGATAATTTGACCAGGATGCCGGTTTTCAGAAGAGGATTTGTTACGCGCACTAATTTAACTAATATTAGAAAAAATCAGGCAGAACCGTTTTAGTGGATTTTTATAAACACATTTTTACCTGTGTTAGTGCTATAAAATATATTACCTCGAAGATAGTTATCAAAGATAAATATTTGTATAAAAAATTATAATTTATTAGATTAGTCTGAATAATATATGTCCCCGGATTGTCTTTACAAGAGGAAAAACTTTTTATAATTGGCATTTTGAGAGAAGAGTTGTTCTAAAATAAAAAATGAGAGACTAAAAGGCATTTGTTGATAACCAAACTATTGTAAAAGTAAAAATATACCAAAAGTACCCCAAAAATTTAACCCATAAAAAATCTAAAAATGAGACATGCTGAGTTAAATTATGAAACAGACTAAAAACGCACTTTAAAGGCCCTGCTATGGTCAGAACTCAAATAAAAAAATCCAAACTAGTAAAGAACACCGACCTACTATAATTCAAGTCAAAATTACATCGTCGCAAAACATTTATAAACTGAAAGTTTACAACAATAATATTAAATTAAAAATGAAGAAAAATTACATTATTAATAGTCACTTAAAGAGTAGACCAAAAAAATACAGATATATACCGATTAAAGAACTAAATATTTCTAAAAATCTATTGAAAGAGTAAACATCTCAGCAGTCCTAAAAGTCCGGCCTTGCAAATTTGATGGTAGTAATTTTAAAACAATGGCTTTCTTTAAAACATTATTTAAGTAACTATAGTTTTGGTCAAAAAAAAAACTTTAGGTGCGTTACATCTCCGCTGCTGACTAACTTTGCAGCTAGTTTAAGATCTTTTTCTGTATACTTGTTTGGTTTCTTTGGATTTTTTTGTTTAACTTTTTCTACTAATTGACAATTACTACCACTAATTTTGACGTTCTGAATGCCGACATTGGAATTAGCCAAACAAACTTCTACGCTAATTGAAACTACTAATTTATTCCACTAATTTCGAGGTTCTTAATGAAGCTTTAGAAAAAATTCACCTATATTTTCATGTTTTTTTTTAATTTTCTCTAAAACAGTATGGAAGTTTCTAAAAGTGTAATGTAAACGGGTTTAACCACTTTAGAACAAGCATTTTTTGATGAAGAATGCATTTTTCTCAAAATTTCAATAACAAAAAAGTTATTCTTCTTGCAAAGACGATCCCGGACATACTGTAGATATTCAGCAACCTATACCGGGTGCGTCTCAAAAGTGGCTCACCCCTATAACTTTTTAATTTTTTCAGATAAAAAAACGAGATTTGGTATGTTAGTATATGACATAAATTAGGATTGATTGACGTATTCAATTGTTTTCTGGCACTTCCTGTTTCACCGGAAATTACTACAACTTTTGATTTTTAAATGGCACCCTCGGTATTTTTTTACTTCATTCGATAGAAAATGACATTCTGAATAGAATGACATATCATATGTCAACTTTTAACATTTTTGCTTAAAACAAAATTGAATTGTAAATTTCAATCTAGAGTGCCATGGCTGTGTTATAAGCACTATTTATTAATCAAGGAGCCTTGGAAAAATATATTTGATCGTCTAATGTTATTCGTGTCTTGTCCTGGCTGGTTAAAAGATGCCCAAATCGTATTTTTAATCATATCTCAATTTTTTCAAATGGAACGAGGGTTGCTCATTAGCATATGTGGAAAAAGCATTTTTTTACGAATAATTTGATACCACACACTTGGTATTTAGATTCAAATTGTCGTCATGAATCGCATGTTGCAATTTCTAATAAACCATATTCGAAAATGTCAAAGTTGACATATGATATGTCATTCTATTCAGAGTATCATTTTCTATCGAAAAAAGCAACAAAAAACCGAGGGTACCATTTAAAAATCAAGGGTTGTAGTCATTTCCGGCGAAACAGGAAGTAACAGAAAACAATTGAATACGTGAATCAATCCTAATTTATGTCAAATATTGACATACCAAATCTCAATTTTTTATCTGAAAAATAAAAAAGTTATAGGGGTGAGCGACTTTTGAGACACACCCGGTATATTTATTTTTGAAACTATAAAAATACTGGTAATTTCCCAGTGGTTTAGAATTTCATTACAATTAAAATTAAAAAGCAACCAAATTCGTTTCACCATAAGAATAAGTAATCCACAAAGTTAACCATTTTTTTTAATTCATATAAACATGATGGTAGTAGCAGAGATGTAAAAAAACAATAAGAATTAATACAGTATGATTTCTAATTTTCTTCAGATATGATGTAAATATAACAGAGGCTAAACCATATGAGGACTATGATTAGAATACATTAGACAAAACAATGACAAAGTAAATTTGTATATTGTTAAAACAAGAGTTGGAGTTTAAATCCACAAATAGATACCTCAATTATATTTATTCATATGTATAGTTTATATAAAATAGCACTACTGTCTTTTAAACCTTATATGTAATAGGAATAATAGATCTTGGTAAATAAGCATTTTATGTTGCATGTAAATTCTGAAAGAACTATTTAAAAATAATAAAATTATAATCCCTTTATACAAAACTGTCACAATTACCGGCCATTCTTTATAAATGAATAGATATGTTGTCTGAAGTCTCAAGTATTTGACGACTATATACATCATAAACCTAAATAAATCCAAAATTGCATGGACCTTTAATCATTAATGCTTTATATATCAGTTATACATATTAAAATGTATAAATATTGAAGTGTTAGGACAGAATTATATATCAACATGAATATATTCATTAATAAAACACAATTTAACATTTTCGTTTATTATTCAAATACAAAATTTAGTATTCCTTTACCTCATCAACAAATGAGTCCTCTTGAAGAAAACTTGAATCAAGATCTTCACTTTTATCTTTTGATTCCTCAATAAACACATCTCCCATACCCTCGTCTTCATCTATTTTAGCTTTTTTAGCAGGCGGTTCATCTTCTCCATGAGTTTCAGCAGTATTTTTTCCATTCTTTGGTTTACCTTCATCTGCATTTTCCTGATCTCCTTTGTGCAATATTTCAGAAATAGCTTCTGTATTGATTGGTTCTGATGATTTTTCTTCATTAATTTGTGCAGTGTGCAGTATTTCAGAAATTACTTCTGTATTGATTGGTTCTGATGATTTTTCTTCATTAATTTGTGCAGTCCTGGGCTCTGAGAATAAATCAGGAGAGCAATTCTCCTCTGGAAGCGGAGATTCAATTTTATCCTCAGCATTGTTGGTGTTTTCCTCTATCACAGGTTCTTGAGAAGAACTATCCAACCTTTCCTAAAATATATTTTGCATATAAAACCGCAAAAGTATTATATTATAAATTATTACAACCTTCTCAGTACTCTCATCAAGGCCAACACTGGTCTGATCTTTATTTATATCTTCACATATTTCATCCCCAATTTCTATGGTTTCGTTTCCATCTTCACTAGGAGCTGTAACTTTTGGCCTCAGAACTGTTCTTTCGTCAGAAGTTCCTTCATTTTCTACAGAATCGTTCTTTAAATCTGAAGAGATCTCTTCAAATTGTACGTCACTTAGATTTGCATCTTTCTCACTTATTCCATCATCTATAGTAGAGTGATCAGTCTCTGTCAGTTTCACATCATAATAAACTTTTTCGTTTCCAGCATTACTAGTGTGTGGCTGTTCATCTTCTGAAACATCTAAATCAGTAAGTAAGACCCCTAAAACAACAATCAAATTTCCACTTACCTTGATTTTCACTTGACTGGTCAATAGCACTACTTTCCTCTATAACCATCTCATGAATTTCAATAGAATCTCTAGTAGGCAAAGTTTCCCCCCCTTTATTTATTTCATCCTCCTTATTTGCACCCAAATATAAAGAAGGACAAATAGGTTGACATAAAACTTCCAGAATCCCAAGGCCTTTTTCACATACACCTGCTACCAGTTTGTTGTTACTACTACTACCACTAACAAGAATATCAAGGCTAGTTTGAAGTGGTGGTAACAAGGTTAAAGTGTCTTGGCGATAGAGAGCTATCAATACTTCATATAAATGAACTTGGCATAAAATATTAGTATAAGGATGGATAGGCTTCGATGTTTGGAGTGCTGTTAAAGACTCAAATATAGATTTGTATAAATCCTAAAATTATTTAAAAACATCTTCAACTATTATATTATTAATTCACATCTATAAATATTACCTGTAGTAAAGTTGATTTTACATTCAATTCAGTACACTCTAATAACTTTTGTAATGTTTTTAATGCAAACCGACATGTATTTTCTTGACTATTTTTTTCAAAATGGGTTAAGCTAGAATTAAATATACCAGCTATGATTGAAAATGTTTATAGGTAAAATTATACATTTAAATATTCAACATTTAAAAACAAATATTATCAACTACAATCAAGTTATATATGGTACGGCAATAGTGCGTCGGGCATCGGTAGCCCCTATAATAAAAGTTTTTAATTTTGGAATTTTGTTTAAGTACAGATTTAAGGGCTCAAGCGCACTGACGATGACGACCAGGTCGCAGCGACCAGCATTTGATTCAATGTTATAACTGGTCGCAGCTGCGTTTCAATAACAGTTGTTGATTTTATTGATTGTTGAGTTTTCCATTATTTTTTATGTTTGCTGTATTTTCTTTTTTTTCTATTTTTTTGTAAAAATTGGCAAGTCCGTAAATAAATATTTACTTATTTAACATTGTGTAAGGGGTGTAAGGGGCGAGGCCGAGGAAAAGGTCAGCCCAAATGTCAACCTCACCTACTCGCGTGATAATCTCGGTTATCCGGTGCACCCTGCTAGATAACCAACGAGGCTCTGACGACCGAACGGCTGCCGGAATAAGCAGCCCCCACTTTTTGGCCAACAGCTTCGGGTGGAAGAGCCAGAAAGTGCAAGGGCACTCTTTTATCCTTGGGCTGAGAAATCAACTCAAAAGGCGGATGAACTGCAGCAAGTAGCGAACGGCATGGCATAAGGATGCAGAAGGCAAATTGGAAAACCACTGCATTAAAGATCACATAGCGATATTCCCTGCATTATCATCATGGCTGAAGTCAGGACTAAATATAATTCCGGAGTAAGTCCTCCGGTCGGATCTCCGGGGAGGACAGTTGTGACTGATATGAGTAATGCAACCGATACGAAAAATACCCTACTACGAAAACCAATAAAGATAGGAACATGGAATGTTCAGAGCATGTTCACTCGAGGGAAAACACACAATGTAATTCTGGAAATGAATAGATTGAACATCAAAATAATGGGAATCAGTGAAGCTCGCGGGCAGAGTAGACTTCATAAACTGCGGGCAGAGTAGACTTCAAGACAAAATTATTTATTACTCAGGAGGCAGTGACAGTCAACATCGTCACGGAGTTGCGGTCATTCTTGATGAGAGTCTTCAAAGATCGGTGAGGAACTTCGTGCCTTTTTCTCCTCGCGTTTTGCTTTTACAACTTGAGTCATACTGTGGTACACTCAATCTGATTCAGGTCTACGCTCCAACAGCGGATAGTGACGACGAGGAGGTGGAATCGTTCTACAAAGAGATTGTAGACGTCATGAAATTAACTAAAAACAAAGACGTCACTTTGCTCCTGGGCGACATGAATGCAAAGATTGGACAAGGTTCCTGTGGAAAATGGATTAGGCGGTATGGACTGGGCGTACGTAATCAGCGAGGAGATAACCTTCTACAATATTGACAAGAAAACTCCATGATAATAACTAATACGTTCTTCAAACTACCAAAACGTCGCCTATACACATGGAAATCGCCACGCGACAGTGAGAACCGCATAGTCCGAAACCAATTTGATTATATTATCCTCAATCAGAGATACAGGAATGCAGTGAAAAGTGTCAAAACATACCCAGGAGCAGATGTAGGCTCGGACCACAACCTTCTGGTGACGGAGATTATGGTGAAGCTCAAGAAGCTGAAAGTTTTGTCGAACCAAAGATCTATTGATATCAGCCTACTAAGAAGTAATAACGCGAAAGTGAAGGTGTACCAAGGTATAAATGAAAACCTAAATAAATTGATAAATTGCTGTTCGGCAACACAGAGCCAACCTGAAGACATGTGGCAAAGTTTAAAATCGGCTATTATAGAACCCTGCAAGAAATATCTGAAACCTGAGAAAAGAACAATGCGAAATGATTGGATGACTCATGAAATTTTGATGCTTATGGGAGAAAGAAGGAACCTGAAAAATACAGACAGACAGGAATATAAAAGAATACAGAAAGTCATCAAATATAAATGTCGTCAAGCTAGGGAGGAGTGGATAAGAGGAATAAGAGGACTAAGAGGAATGCACTGAAATAGAAAATCTGCAAAGACTTCACGGCTCACACAGTATGCATAAAAAAATAAAAGAGTTTACTGGAACTGTTCGGAAGCAAAAATCGTACATTCATACAAATGATGATGGAGAAATTGTGTTGGATATTAAAGATCAATTGACTCTGTGGGAACAATACATCGAAACCCTTTTCAACGACCAAAGAGAAGAAATCACTACCAGCATTAACAATGAAATGGGGCCTCTATTTTAAAGGAAGAAGTGCAAGCGGCAATAAAAGCAGCCAAAGATGGGAAAGCGCCTGGCCCTGACGATCTACCTGCAGATGCGCACAAGTTGATTGAAGAACAACACTTAGGTGCTATCACTTCTCTATTTAATAAGATCTACGAAACAGGGATGATACCAAAGGAATGGCTCCAGTCGACGTTTGTCTCAATTCCAAAGAAGCATAATGCCAAAAAATGTGAAGAACACCGCACGATCAGCCTTATGAGTCACACACTTAAGATCTTTCTCAAAGTCATCCACCCCAGGATTTACAGAAAATTAGAAGAAGATATAGCAGATACTCAGTTTGGCTTTAGAAATGGTTTCGGTGCTAGGGAGGCTTTGTTTGCCTACAATGTCTTAATGCAGCGATGCCTTGATGTCAATCAAAACGTATATGCCTGCTTTATTGACTATAGTAAAGCATTCGATAAAGTAAGACACAATCAACTAATAGAAGCGTTAGAACGAAAAAATCTCGATACAAGAGATATACAAATAATAGTAAAACTGTTCCTTAATCAAAGTGCGTCTATTCGCGTCCAATCTGAACTGACGAGAGCAGTGGATATCAAACGAGGAGTTAGACAGGGATGTGTTCTTTCACCACTCCTTTTTAACGTCTACTCAGAGGAAATCTTTAACAAAGCCCTCGAAAATGATGCTGGTGGAATACTAGTTAACGGCATACCACTGAACAATTTGCGCTACGCGGACGATACAGTCCTTCTCGCTGAAAACATGCAAGACCTTCAGAATATATTAAATAACGTCATCACAACTAGTCGAGAATATGGTCTGACACTCAATAATAAGAAGACCAAATACATGATTGTCACTAAAACTGGAGTGCCTAATGAACATCTGTACGCGGAAGGCGAGGAGCTCGAAAGAGTAGAGAGGTATGACTACCTGGGTACAAGTGTCGACTGCACCGCGGATTATTGTTCAGAAATAAAGATTCGCATTGAGAAGGCCCGTGCATCCTTTGTGAAGATTAAGAAGCTGCTCTGTAGCCGCGATTTGAGCCTAGATCTGAGAACTCGTATGCTCAAATGTTATGTATTCCCAGTCCTTTTGTATGGTATGGAAGCTTGGACCCTCAACGAGCTTTGCGAGCGGAAACTGGAGGCCTTCGAGATGTGGACATACCGTAGGATGTTGAGAATACCATGGACAGAACATGTAACCAACGTGGCGGTTCTGAGAAGAATGAGGAAGGGCGCATAGATCCTCAAGGAAGCGAAAAAAAGAAAATTGCAATATCTCGGCCATATCATGAGAGGTCCAAGGTATGAGATTTTGCAACTCATAATCGAAAAAATTGTAGGAAAAATATCTGTTGGAAGAAGAAGAATATCCTGGCTCAGAAACCTGCGAAAATGGTTTAATGTCACGTCATCTGACCTATTTAGGGCCGCAGCTTCCAAGGTCAAAATAGCAATGATGATAGCCAACCTCCGATATGGAGACGGTACATAAAGAAGAAGAAGATTTAACATTGAATCAAATGCTGGTCGCTGCGACCTGGTCGTCAGTACGTTTGAGCCCTAAAGTATGTGTTGGAATGTATTACAAGAAAATATTTTAACTTCTACAAGGTACTCCAAAAAAGTGGCAGTGAATATTTTTTCAGAATTTTGTAAAAAATATATTAAAAATATAAGAAATGTATTTTTAAACCAAAACCTAGATATTTACTATAGTTGGTCTGTAGTTACTTTCCTACGTAATCTTAAACCATACAGGATGTTCAAAATTCTATGCTCAACACACTAAAATATAAAATAATTTTTTAAATGGAACACCCTGTATATTATATCTTTATTAGGGAGAGATTTTTAACGGTTTTGCGGATATTCGTAATATTATATTATTACACATGGGTTTTAAACAGTGATTTTTTATCAAAACCTTCTAATGATTTTTTTCTGGTATTTTACCATTGAAAGAGCCATTTGTAAATATAAAAACGCAGATATTTGCGAAACCGCTTAAAAGTTTAAGATACTTTAAATACAAAAATATGTTAATTTTTTAATTTTCCATCTAACTTCCCCAGTCTAACAAAGATATAATATACAGGGTGTTCCATTTAAAAAAAAAAACAAAGAAAAATTATTTTATATTTTAGTAAGTTTGGTATTGAATTTAAACACCGATTGGTTTAAGAGTACGATATTTATAGGAAAGTAAGTACAGACCAACAGTAAATACCTAGTATAGTTTTGATTTTAAGACATTTCTTATATTTTTAATAATTTTTTTAAAGGCTAAAAAATATTTTTTTTAATAATTTATTCACATTGCTGAAACTATCAAACATATTTAATAATATCTTAGGATTATGTAAAGTGATCAAAAAGGAAGTCAAAAATGCAATAATATACAGGGTGTTTAGTTTTAAAAAAATCATCCCAATCCACTCACACTTTTTTAAGCCACCCTGTAGAAGTTAAAATATTTTTACAGTTATAACATTGAATCAAATGCTGGTCGCTGCGACCTGGCCGTCATCGTCAGTGCGCTTGAGCCCTTAATCTGTACTTAATCAAAATTCCAAAATTAAAAACTTTTATTATAGGAGCTACAGATGCCCGACGCACTATTGCCGGACCCTATATGAGAAACAAATCAGTACATTTGTTTAGTCAAAAAACAGGCTTTAAGAGATTGGTACCACAGCAGATTGGTAATAATAGAAAGTTCTTATGTACTATTGAGTTTTATTTAGATTAATTAAAAAAAGCTTACCAAATTATGTTATTATAACCATAATTACAAAAATTACTGTTAATACTTACCTAGAGCTATTGTTTCTATTTCCACTTGAAATAATTCTATCAGCCATTGCCTTCCTTTTTGCCTTTTGAGATTTCTTTCCAATATTTGGTTCAGAAATTGTTAATGTTACTTGATATTTTACTGGAGTTATATCTTTCAATATACAAACTAACAATTGTGACTGAAATTGTGAATGAAGATAACTTTTTGATATGGACAACCATTCACTCAGAGCTTTATAAGCACACTCCTGATATAAACTAAAAGAATATTATTTTCTATAGGATGAGAATAAGATGTTTTTTATAAATTTACCTGTCAATTTTAAAACAATCACATTTCTGAGACAATTCAATGCTTTCAATAATTAATTTTGAAATAGCATAAGAAAAAGGAAGAATAGATGTTTGATACCTAAAAAAAGTCATATAACAGGTGATAAAAGATTATAGAATAATTGTACCATATAATGTACAGTCTGAGTAGCCTTAAAAGAATGCACTGAATCTGGCTTAATAAAATAGAAAAGTGATGTGTTGTTAATGATTCCGACTCCTTGCTTGTTATACATTTATGAAATGACAGTCCTCTAATAATGATATCTAATAGTTCTTTTGGATCCGTCTCTTTTACTGCTGGAAACTTGTTTCTTAAACCAACATTAACTGTTAACTAATTAATAACAATAAGAAAAGTTATATTCTTACTTAATCATTGCCTCGGCATATTTTAAAATATTGGATATTCTTCTAAAATTAATGTTCATCTGTGTCTGTGTTGTATGGGTTGGATCGTCATAAAAATCAAATGTATCCTCTGACAATTCATCACTTGAAAATAACTCTTTTTCGTTTTTGAACCACTCATCAAATAATTTGTGAGTTGTTCTGCATAATTTATGAAAACTTTTGGTAAAATTTGCTTTGTGATTTACACCACTTGTGCCTGCACCACCAGTCTGAAATAACACATTACTAACTAACCATATAAAATAATAAATAATTTACTTGTTGCAGATAATGAAATGCTTTAGCTGCATTTAATATCAAATCTTCATTATCATTATCCAAAAGGGTCACTAGATACTTTTCTATTTTGTCTTGGTGAGAACCAAACCAACTAGGATAATATTTCATACAAATTGTTAAAGTTTCTAAGGCTGTTTTACATTCATAAATGTTTACAAAAGAGGTTGTAATACAAGTTTCAAAAATTTTAGACATATGTTCTGATACAAATTTTTTATTAAATTCAGAATCAGTATGGGCTAGTTCAACAATAACTCCTAAAAATAACATAGTGTTTTAGTTGTGATAGAGTAATACTTCTATATATGAAAAATAGGTACCTTATTTATTAAGGAATACCTATGTTTAATAACTAATAATGAATTGAAAATTAATACATAGATGTTAAATAAACACTTTATACCGTACGATCGAAAAATCAGCAATGGCTATGGAATGAAGATCGCTGTCATTTTTTATGTAAATTTATATGAGAAATGTCATCGATAATCATTTCTCAACCAACTGGACGCCGTTTTTTTCGATCATATGGTAGAAACAAATTACCTAAGACTCTCAATCGAAGCTCCCTCAACATATCATCAGGATATTTCACAATGCAATGATTTGTCCAGTTTAGAGCATTCTCTGCAAGAACTGAAGGACTGCAATTGTTTATTAACAAATTTAAATACTCCAATCCTTCCCTCCGAGATTTCGCGTTCGATAAAAGGGTATTTATTGTGTTAACAATCACTTTCTCATTGGCTTCATATTGTAAATTTAAGTTTAAAATGTTTGATAACAGAACTTTTACATTTTGTTCTCGAAAGGAAAATACATCTTCAACTTGTGATGTTGTTAGTGGCATTTTTATAGAATTATATACAGTTTTCTATTACACACCTATCGCACAACAACCAATCTACTTAATATAAAAAGTTTTAGATATATTACCCCGATAAATCAAAATTTTCTTTATAACTTTAAATTAGAGAAAACCATACCGAGTCTCTGACCGGGTTCTTCTTCTTCTTCTTTTTTTATGATGGCTCTGCTACACCAAAACCAGCCAAAACACTTGTGTCTAGCCCTAGCAGGCAACTGTTAAGCCCGACCAATCACGTTAGAGTTTTTGACAAACACAACACTCCACAGAATATACTAACGAAAAAGAAGCCCAAGTTCCTTGTAATAAATCGGTTCCATTTTCGTAACGCCATCTCTCGACATAGCTGACATTATAGGTTAGCCAAAGGGGTGCGGGGCCGGGGGGAATTGTAAAATACACTTTTTTAATTTAATTATTTTTATTGCTATTTGCAATTTTTTTTTTAAAACATATTATGTGAAACAGTCACATAATATGTTTAAAAATAAAATTATAGAACGGATACAAAAGGAATTAAATAATCTGAAAATTTACAAAGTTTATTGAATAAAAAAGTTAGGCTATGCAAATTGATATGTATATTAAGTATAACCTCTTTGGTAAACATGTTTAAACAAACATTAACAAAAGTACTATTACATAAAAACAGGTGATACAATACTTCAAAATTAATCTTGAGAGTATATAAAGAGCGCGAAAACATGGTACAAAACTGGGCATACATACACAACCACAACTTATCACCACAGAAATTAACACACACGTCCGCGGCAAATGTCCAAGAAAGACTGATCGTTCTGATGGTCCTGGTCCGGTCGTAGCTCAACGTCGTATTGTCGGTAAGGAAAATCCCTGTACAAACATTGACGGATGCAGCGCCAATCATCGTCATAATTGGGAAACTTTTGCTGGAACCATTTTTAATATTTCACTTACATGGCCCTGCAACACTCCAAATTTTAATCTGTTCTGTGACTCCAAATAACCACGCTAACCAACCTGATTGGTCAAGCTTAATAGTTGACTCACAAAACACATACACAAGGAGAAGTGCGAGCGCCTTGCTAAATATTGGAAAGTGAAATTGACGTTTAAATTTGACACTGTTGACAAGTCTACTGCTACTAGCGCCCCCAATATCGCTTGTAGGAACTACGGACTAGATTGTCACGAATGGCGGGAAGTTTAAAAAATAAAAAATTTTAATTCTTCAATTTATTTTTAATTATGACATAGATAAAAACACATAAAATACACAATTTTTTTAAAAATAATGTTTTAATATCAAATAATCAAGAAATTTATTTCACCACAATAAATTAATAAAATAAAAAAATGTTACAAGTAATCAAGAAGACAAATTAATTTATACAAAACTGAAAAAAATGGCGTCATAGATGGCTAAGAATGACGATATATATCATAATTTTGAAAAGGTAAATATATAAGAAATGTCATCGATCATCATTTTGAAGCCAACTGACAGATTATTTCAAAACATACTAAGCTGAGTTCGTTCATAGTGCTCTGAGAAATCTAGATAAACAAAGAATAATAAATTAAAAGTATTCTAGGGAAAAAGAGAGGAAAACCTGTATCGTCTCTGATATCTGCCAGGGTATTGTTGAAAGTGTAATCTTTTTGCTCGAAGTTTTCAGGTCGATTAAAAAGATGACATTTACAACAATACTTTTCCGTAACTTTCACAAATATCAGAGAGAGAGTACAGGTATTGCCTCTCTTTTCCTCTGGGATTCTTTATATCTGTTCTTCTTTGTTAACCTATATTTCTAAGAGCATAATGCCATACACGACTACAGTATATAATAATTTCAATGTCCTAAGTGGAAAGAAAAAAGATCACCTTTCTATTTTGTACTATGGTCCCTTTCTTCCGATGGCTCATTTCGTTGATATTTAGGAAGGTATCCATAAAATATATATTTTTTTTTTTTTTTTTTATTTTTATTTAAATTCCAATTTCATTTGATGATCCTTTTCTGTCACCTAAAACAGGAGAATAACAATGACATTTAAGATGAAAAAAAACTTATTTATCAACACTTACCTTCACGTTAGTCCGAGGAGTTTAATCAAAAACCTATATTTGCCTAAATAATTCATGTATTCAATTTACAAAGCAATCTGCAGCGCGTAAACAAAAGATATAAAATGGCGACAAGTCAACGTCAACGCCCCGACAAGGAGAAAAGTGGTGTTCGAATAACAATTTATGGGTTGGCAAAAAATTGTTTTGTTTCCTTTCATTCAACCGCACACTTAAGAAAGAAAAAGAGATGAACAGTTATACTGAAAGAATGTCAAGGTTTTATCTGTCACTCTTGTCAATAATTTATCGGTAAGGAAGATTCCTAGAAAATCGCTTGTAGTCAAGTTTTCAACCATTTCCAGTTCTCCCATAAGAAGTGTCATCCACCTGAGTTGACTGCTAGGACTAGACACTTCTGCCAAAACCCTTAAACCAAATCAACTAGTAACCTCTAAAAATTATTTTTCCTACCACTAGCGACATACCGTGTTTTTAGTGTGTACTAAATTATTTTATCAAAGTTTCACACGTGGTTTCACCATATAAGCACGGCACATTAATACCATTACCCAGATTTTTATTCAGCAGCAATTATGGAGTGTAGAGGTAAGGAGAAATAACTCCGTGCATTAAAAAATGGTCAAAAAAAGGGAAGAATTAGGATGGCGCTGCTGTAGCAAGCAGGGGGGTGACAGTGAAATAGGAAAATTGGAAACAGTCATTAGTGTCATTCCTGTCATTCTCCTCACGACAAGTATGGCCGCCTAGACAAGGACAGCATTGTTTTTGTCTAACTATTGTCTAACTAAACAGTTTAGAATTGACAGATTTCAGTTTTAGAGACAACTTCAGATTTGTTCTAGAACAATTCTTTCCAAAATATTCGAGCGAGGGGCCATTTTAATTCATTCCGTTTTCGTTTTGGAAGTTCAATTTAATATTTCGGCTGAAAATTTTATAAATATAATTGTTAATAAAGTATATAAAATTATATATTACATGAAGAATCCTGGAGAAAACGACGTTTCTGCAGTAGTATAAGTATACCCATGTTTATATGAAAAATAGGTAGTAAATAAACACTGTTTTTTACATTTTTTAGCAAGAAAATGGTGTTATAATATCTTTGATCGGCGATTTTTCTGAAAATGGAAGCAATTTACAGCAAGGTAAGATCATTTTTAACTATAAGTCAACATTAAAGTAGTTACTCCAGTATGTGCGATTTATTGTCAATAATGCAATAAATCGTACTGATAATCTGATTATGTTAACCGACTAAAAGTCTCTTTTGCTTCTTTTTGATTATAAGCCAGGCCTCTTTGGGAAAAATGGACGCTTTTTTAAACATAATATTTATATTTTTATACCTATTTGATATTTTTAAACATTGTTAATTTTAGTAATAAAAAAAAGAAAAAAAAATGTTTTTCTGTTTTCAGGTTTTGTAAAGGCTTCCGTTTTCATGTTCCTGAGTCCGTTTTCTGTCCTTGAAATCTGCGAATACGTGTGTTACCCGTGTGTTTATTTACAAATTTCTGTAAGTCATGCTTATACCTTAAACTAAGTTTACGTTAAAAAGTACATATTAATTAACTAATTGGATTGAACAAAACAATCCTCTATATTTTTTATATTTATTTAGTCACGTTGTTCCATATTCAATAATATATGTGAATAAATTATTTTTTGGTTTTATTTATGAAAAGAAAAAAATACAAAATACAATTTGAACTGAAAGAGGACCCGCCATTGAATAACCGGAAACGGAAAAAAAATTAAGCCATCATGTTCTTATCATGTCAACCTGTCAATTGGAAAATTAGTTCTCCAGACGACAACGAAGGCTTTCGGTGGCGTATCGTGTTTCCACGATTTAACACAGAGTTGACACTTCTTTCTAGTTAATTATTTTATGGTAGCAAGATTCTAAAATTTAAGACATGCGCCGAACATTTTAGAACAGATGATTCAAGACATAAATATTTGACGTGAAGCAAACGCCAAGCCGCGGGTTTAAAAAAAATACAATTTTATTTTCATGTTGCATGAAATAAATTACGATTTTTATTCAGCAGCAATAGACTAGGCCCTTTTTTATTGTTTCTTATAAGTTATTTCGCAAATGTCATTCAAGACGACGAAAAAATATGCTTATCGTTTTAGCTTAAAATTATGGTAATTATAGAACAAATTTATTAAAGTAATAATTGGTGATGGGTTTAAAATAAATATAATGCAGCTTTAAAATAACTTCATACCTACATTGATTTAGTATAAAAGTAAGTCAATATGTGGTTTTATTATCGATTATTCAGATATCAGAGCCTCTTTTTATTGTTTCTCATAAGTTATTTCGTAAATCTCTTAGTATCTCTCGTAAATCTCTTAGTATCTCGAGTATTATCTTCTTTTTCGCTCCCAGCTATTCCAACATGGCTTGGGACGTGAAATAATAATATAATTTTATAGCCCTTCCAGATGCTCATGTCTTCCTTGTAGTTCACCCAATAGAATCGTTCTCGCAGCTTTCTCCCAAGTTGGTAGTTGCTATTCATTCAGAATAGTGGAGTTTAAATATATTTGGATAGTCGGATGGTTTAACTATCGTAAACTATAAAACACTTTTTAATAATTCTTTTCTCAATTCCTTTGCACTAATATATTTGCAATCCCACTTATTGAATATTTTCCTTTGAATTTCGTTTCCTATTGTTCCATGGCTTGAGACGTAATGTTATAGCCCTTCCAGATCCTCATGTATATTCCTTTTCCTTGTAGTCCACACAATAGAACCTTTCTCTTAGCATCCTCTCAAGTTGGTAGTTGCCATTCATTAAGAATAGTGGATTTTAAACATGTTTCGTACTCGGATGTTTTAACTACTGTAACATCATAAATAAATTGTAAACCAACACATAATGGCCAAACTTCAACAGACTTTAATATTCATAAACCTCATCAGAAGAAAATATTTTTTGATCCGAAGTTTCTTTTTCGTTATTTAGAATAAATTACCTGCAATTGTTAATTCGTTACAAAACATTGAATAAAAGATGCGAAGTGTTTATACATACTATATATAGAAAATTTTCTTCATTTTAAATTATGTGATAGATCTGCTTGCTTGTAGGATCTAGACTCATAAACTC